CAGCTCCTTCTTTTAAGACCACAACAATGACCAGTAAAGTTATATGTTATTTATTGCATCCCAGAAAACACCAAGAAAGACAGTTTTTTCCACCACCAACTGAAACGGCATAAGATGTGCAGTAACATGGAGCCCGGTGTAATTCAGGTGAAACTGATGTATCTCTTCTGAAAATTCACTTTGACACACCATTTGTTGTACTCTTAAGTTAATAAAAGCAGCAATCCCTCCTTTTACTTGTCAAGCTTGGATTGATTTTCAGAGGGATTTTAATGATAACACTGTGATCTAGAATTATTCATACAGATGTGTCTCAGAGAAAAGCAACGAAGCATTTACATGCCGTCTCAGTCTCAGTAACAGTAAAGAGGAGGCAAGCTTATGTTTTTCGGTGCCAAAACAAGTTTTATTTTCCCTATACACTGCATCTCCTTCTTCATCACTTTGAACCTCCTGTGTTCACCTCTGCATATCATTCTCTTATTTCTCCAGGGATGGGGATCATTGTTGTTGTGGTTTCCATGCAACAGCAGTGCAGTTCAATAGTACTGGTAATGAATAGTTCAGAAAACAGAGCACATCTCCGAAAAAAGCAAGACCTAAGGTTTCACCTTTCCAAATGTGAGCTGCATATACACATAAGTTTAATATGGTAAAGATTAGAATTTCTATTTATTTAAAAGATGTGGTTTGGTCCATGTCAGTCATCAGTTTCAAGTTTTTCAGGTAAATACTTCACAGATTCGGTTTGTTGTTTTTTTGTTTTGGGTAGTCATCCACACATTGCAATTTAAATCTCAAAAGTGCAATTTATGTGTAATTTGATTAAAAATATATATTTTGTGTACTTTCATCTTTAGAAGGTTTTACTATATCAAAAGCTGGAAATTCGCCATCTTTTCAGATGGGCCGTCACTTCAGGGGAATTGAATTTTTTTTCTTTTTTTTCATGGATGTTCTAGTCAGTATATTCTTGAAGAACTGTATTATTTGTGTAGAATTTGAGAAAAGATGTCTTAGTACATGGTTTTATGTTGGCTTATGCACATGTCTAAGAGCATGTGCACTCCTGCAAAAAAGTGACTATATTCAGCCAACTTTTGGTGCCTGAAGCATGTTGATTCTCTGTACTCTGAATGAATGGGTCTGTCCTTAATTGAGCCTCCATGAAGAACTTGCCTTGTTGTGAGTGATGCTGCTTTAGGGCATCAGGCTGAACCAAGCTTACGACTTTGAACCACTTTCAAACTTTAATCACTGCCAGTGTATAAAAAGGAGTCTATAGGTATCTATAAATTGTGTATAAATTACAAGATGGAATTTGCATGCTTAAGTGCATGGAAAATCATTTTTGGCCCATGATAAGTTGAAAAAGTTACATTTGTGCTATTCTTATTTCAGTTTCATAGAATGCAATAAATTGAGTTTCTCCCATGGATAAGTAGGAAATTATGTGTCACTGTAAATGACTGTCGGCAAATTTAACTAAAACTAAAAGCCCAATTTTAGATTATACAGAAATAAACACAGTGCCCTACTTATCAATTCAATCAGATAAGCAGGCAAAAATATCAGTATTTTGTGTATGTCAGCCCATTTAGTTTGTAAAGTATGTTAAGCTGAATATAGCGGCAAAAAGCACAATGAATGAATATTGATTAGAACTTTATGTAATGTTTCTTTGTTTGTACTTCCTGTGTGGATGGAATTGTTTGTTATATTGTATAGGGTTTTAATTTCTCGCTCTTTTTAATCTGGGAGCATCTTGCAATGTCTGCATTATACAGGACTAAAGCGAAGAAAAAAAGTATTTAAGACCTTTTTTTAGAAATTTCAACAATGTCTTTGGAAACAATATACATTAAGCCACACAGACGGCAGCAATATTCAATGCAGAGTCAGTTTAGGGGTAAAGTAAATCATGATTGTAACAGCCAATACCCTGAAATGCTATTCTTCATGCCTGTCATACAAAGAGATTGAAACGTCTTTCGCATGTTGTGTCATCTGTCATCATAACCTCCCATAAGCACACATGCGCTATCCAGTGAAACTGGCCGAAGGGACACCGCTTTGGCTAATAGCTGTGAATAGAACAGTTCCAGCTGGCTTTGTGTGTCTCAATTTTTCATCATTCTCATGTTACGCATTTTTCTTTGTGATTTCAACAATTATAAATGACTGCTGTCATCTCGGGCAGCAGCTGCATGCTCCAGGAGAGGTTCCACTGAACAGCATTTTCCATCTCTGAAGGGCTAAGCTCGGGAGTCATTTCCAGCAAGGCCGCAGTCATCTTTAAAAGCACCGGAAGCCCTGTTTAATGCGAGGCATGGTGTAGATTGTAAAAAATGAGCAGATATCCTCGATCTTGTTTTATTTTCTCTCCCTTTTGTTAAGCTACACTGCATGTGTGCATGTTTATGTATGACCTCAGCATACCTTTGCATAGATTCAATTAAATGAGAGATGTTCCAGGGTTTGTTGAACATCTGAAAACTGATGTGCAGTTCTTATGCAGTATATGCACAGGAGGTCTGATACATTGCATTTATATTCATTTATTCTAAATAAAAAAAACAAACGCAAAAAAACAAGCAAAATAAGCATTTCATTTGCTAACTTAAGACAACCTCAAAATACTGTTGGCCGTGCTTCTGTTTTTCATTTATGTGCAAATGTATTGCTTTTTTCCCATACATTTTCTCTCCAAATGATCCAAAAAATTGTCTGAACCAGCAAGGTTAGATAAGAAGACCACCATCCAGCCCCCACAAAGGCCCCTTGCTGAGAGCAATATTGCTTCACCAACAACAGATGCATTGTTGTGACGGGCTCTTGAACACAAACTACTGTCCCATCTTAAAGGCATGCCATCCACACACGCGTAAACATTGCTAAATGTCACTCAATAGCTCTCGAAATAACAGTGAAACTAAAAAGTGCACACATGCGACCTGCAGTCCCCACACGCTCATAAGAAAAATAAAAAAAAACATCCATTGTCTTAAAAGTAAGCCAGTTTGAAATTAAAATTCAACTCTGCACCTTCATGTTGCAGCCGATATGTGACACTCTGCTCAAAGCAGCCATGTCAGTCTTTCGTCTGCGCAGCTTTCATTTCAGCTTGTCCCTGTTCTCATTTCCCCACTCAATGGAGACAGGATTACAGCAGCATCACTCACAACATGTCTCTGCTGAAATCCATCTATCAGCCTCATCCCTTAACAATATTTCTCTATTGCTCCCAAGTCGGAAGATCAAATATTTGGTATTGCATGGTGAAATCCATTCAAATGGTTCTTAACCTTCTCCTTAATAATCCCTGCAAAAGGCTTTTTTAATCTTTATTTCCCCTCTAAAGCCAATTACTTTACATATGATCAAAGGCATTTATGTATAATTTAGACAGCTGAGCCTAATTTATTAGGACTGCTCACACAAACACAAAGTCATGGACATGTCTTCAGTGTTTGAGTGTTTTCATGAGCGGACACAGAAGACCAGTTGTCTCAACTATTTCACCCTGAAATATGTTTCATACATATTTTCTGATTTAAGCTCAAATTTCTCACTTTTCCCCAGGTGTGAGTGGACAGCCGTGGTGCCATTTGTTCTCAATATGTCACAGGCAGCGCAGCGTCACAGGGCCACGGTGCCCAGAAGCAGCTGGATCCTGGCTTTGTCTCTGCTGTTCGCTCTTCAGGTAAAGACTGTTTACGAAAAAGAATCAAGAGTAGCAGACTGAAGTGTTTATTTTTGTTGTTTATAATGTGTTTATAATTTATTTCTAGACTTTTTGACATATATTCTTTTATATTCTGACATGTATTCTGTCTTTTTCTTTTTTGCAAGTTCTTCAGAACGGTATTCTATTTTAGTTGCTATGATCTGTATGAGCAGTTTGTATGAGCAGCCTGACAGATAAATGCAATAATTTTTAAGTTTAACAATACAGCAGTCTCAACAAAGAAACATTTATTTGGCAGGAGCTCATGTCAACTTAAGGCACTGATTTGAATAAAATACAAAAAATGAAAAATGATGGCATTGTTAAATCTGACAATAGAATCAGAGGACCGATTATTCAATGTCTTATAATCTACATAGTAAACTTAAATCACTGAAACAATGCAAAGAGTCAAAATCAAATGGATACAAATGGCTTGATAAGGAAAAATAATTAATAATTAGATTTCTGATCACAAGCTCATAGTCTTCAGGACATTTAAAGATCTTCCTCTTGAAGCTGCAATTTCACAAGTGCAGAAGCGATATAGGACCATACATACGCTTTGGCTTCAAAGAAAGTAGAATGAGAAAAGCTGCATTTTCTCTAGGTCGTAAAGAGCTGTTTGTGCATTCTGTGGATAGAAAGGTGTGCAGCATAGAAACTGGGGGGAAAGTACGAATTTCATCTTCCATTTCATGTCTCTTTCTATGCATCGATTTGAAATATACTAAGCCATGAAAACACAGTGGTTTTTCCTTATGCACAGTTCACCCTTTAAAAAGCCAAACCCCAAGCTAGGGTCTTCAAACCATCTTCTTCATTTAAAACATATGAGACTTTCTTACTTACTGCACATTTTAACACGAAATTAAAGTATTCATTTCTATAAACTAGAAAAAACAACACATTCACCCCTCTTGATATCAGACATCTCTATTTAATTGTTACTCTACAGTTAACATGAACAATCTTCCCTGAATCAATGACAGCTTTCATACAGCTGACAGTGAACACGAGTTATTGTAGATATGCAAAGTTACACACCTACGAAGAAGTAGTGTTAAGGATTGAAAAACCTTATTTTGGATTACACTGATGGAGTTCTTCTCTTCTCCTTAAACAATCAACTCCCTACATTTTTGAGGCCACCAGATGAGCTAAGCATTTGCAACTGACATCATCTGGAGGACTATGACATAAATAACATGATAATTTTCATAAATGAATAGAGATGCAGCAGCTTTTCTGAGCAGCATCTGTGGCTCACTGTACATCTTTTGAAGTTTGTGTTCTCAACATGTTCTCAATTTCAGTTATAAACTCTCCTGCATGAACAGAGTCCAGTTAGTTTGATAGAGTGAAACATTTTCAATGAATGGAAGCTAGAGTTCTGTTAAAACCTTTACGTAGTGATCATGTTGAAGAAAGCCAGTTGCTATAATTGCCTTGTTGAGGGAATAGGCTGAGCATACTAATACCTCACAAGTCAAACAGTTTTCACAAATTAGAAAGTCAATATTAAGCAGGATCTTCATGGTTATCCTTAACATGTGGAGTTCATACATTACTCCCAGAAGATGTCATGTTTCTCCAAAAACTCTTTTCTCCTTGAAACAGTAATATCAGAAATTCGCCTATGACACACCGACAGCCCCATCTGAAAAATATTTGTCACCTGTGTGAAGGAGATTTCCCCTTTTTTTTTAAACAGCATCCTATATGTATTGCGTGTGATTGTCAATGTGAACATTCTTCATGTGCTTTGTACAACTGCCTTGCTGTATTTTGCCCCCCACCTCCTTTCTTTTGTCTTCTCTAAATCATTTTGTACTTGCACACATCCAAAAAAGAATCAGATCCCCAAAGTTGTTTCATGTTGTCTCGCTCCCCAGGGTGCTGCTCATGCTGCTCCATCAGGAGAGTACAAGCTGGTTCGCACCACCAGAGTGAGAAGGCAGACTTCAGGGGGGTACCAAGCCCCCTCTGCACCCTCACCCAACCAGACTCTGCGGGAGCAGCCTTTGGTCTTCAACCACGTATACAACATTAACGTACCCATGGAGTCGCTTTGCTCTGTTGACCTGGACACGTCCGCACCTCCGGGCTCAGGTGACGGTGAGGACTTCGGATTGATTAAAGGTTTTAATTGCGATTTTACCCCTCATCGTCAAAGCACACTCTGCAGGTATTCTGTGTTTTAAAGGGAGAGGATATGTATTTATTTTTTTCCCTTATAGATTCTCGTGGCGAGTTGGGATCCAGACCTTCCGTAGAGGGTCCAATGGATCCAATTGAACCGACAGAATTCACTGAGCAAACACTGGATGCTGACAGCCAGGTGTGGCTTTCAGCTTTAGCAAAATGTCTCCTAACCACCAACTAATTATTTTGATTGATGGCCTTAGTTTGCAAAATCCCATTATAAGTCAAACTGTACCCTTTTCAGGTAACATTCACTCACCGCATCAATATCCCGAAAGCAGCTTGTGGTTGTCCTGCAACCAATGCAATCCAGCAGCTTGTCAACAGAGTGGAGATGCTGGAAAGAGAGGTTTCCCTGTTAAGATCTCAGTGTGGGACTGGATGCTGTGGGGAGGGTTCTGCAATGGGTAAGTTTAAGATCTATAATTAGACATATGCTTTATGGGGAGTTTGACGTTTTCATGTTCGTTTGCCCAGTTTGCTTTGTTTCCTACCGGTTTTTGATTTATTGCAAGGATAAGACAAAAACAAAATAAAGAGACAAAAAATGACTTTTTTTCTGTATGGTAGAAAAGACAGAAAAGATGAGAGGGGAGCACCTGATCATTTATTCCAGAGAGAAACTTTTCTTATCTATTGCACTGTGGAGAAAAGCTGTGGAGAATTTTTTGATACTGCTGTTATTACAATATGAGATGATTAGAATGGACAGGGCTGCTGAATATATTACAGTTAAAGGAGCTACTCCAATGACACCTTCTCCCATTTAAAGTATTCTCTGATATTGCTCCATCTCAATAGTGAGAAAATAATTTTCTGCTGCAGTCATGATCAGAATCTGAAGGGGGACTGAATGCTCAAATGAGGAAGATGGTGGCAAGAAGGAGAAATGCAAGCTCAAACTGATTTTCATGGATGTTTGGACAAGTATTTCTCCAGTCAAGGCTGTTAAAGCATGTCTGGACATTTGTGTAACCTTTCATGATTCATGAGTCATGTTTTTTTACTTAATGCTTATATATAAATCAAATCCAGTGTATATTCTCATTGACACTGTGTTGGCCTTTGTCTTGCAGGGCGTTTGGACTTTGTCCCAGGCTGCAGTGGCCATGGAAGTTTCAGCTTTGACCTGTGCGGCTGCATCTGCGAGGACGGTTGGACAGGCAAAAACTGCTCCGAGTCCCGTTGCCCAAATGACTGCTCCGGTCAGGGGGTGTGCATCGAAGGGGAGTGTGTATGTGACCGTGACTTTGGGGGTGACAACTGTTCGGAGCCACGCTGCCCCTCAGACTGTTCAGGTCGCGGTCTGTGCATAGACGGCGAGTGTGTGTGCGAAGAGTCCTACACAGGGGAAGACTGCATGGTCGGAAGGTGTCTCAACGACTGCTCAGATCAGGGGTTGTGCATCAACGGGACGTGCCAGTGCCGACCGGGATACGTGGGAGAGGACTGCTCGCTGGTTTACTGTGCCAACAACTGCAGCAAGAAGGGAGTCTGCAAGGAGGGCTTTTGTGTCTGCCAGGAGGGCTTTGCTGGAGATGACTGCAACTCTGGTAAGCTTTCAAGTTTTAACCCTCACTTTACTCCGGAGTTTGATCTGCAACCTCTTTTGAAATGTGCAGGTCGATTCTTTACACAATTTTGATTTATCAAAAAACAAAGAATAACATATAGATCACCCATTATCTGATTTTTTTTTTTATGTGCAGAAGGTTGAGAACTGCATATTGAATAGCTCTATGCAGATGTATCTCATGTCATGTGGTCATGTGGAACTGGAAACAATCCAATCTGTTGAGATCTGAAAGGAAAAGGGCAAACTGGTAATCCATCAAAATGAGTTAATATTGCGTCACAGTAAACACTTTGGACCTGCAGAAGTACACACAGTTTGTGTACTGCAGAAATACAAAACAAATTTGGCTTAACAGCATGCTCTATCAGAATTTTGATGTGACATTTACTAGACTGAACTGTAGAGATCTTATGATGAGTTGTACAAGTTTCATACGGCATAGTGGAGTTATGGATCCAGTTGAAATGATAATTGATTCTCATCATTAACTCATGGAAATGACAAAATCACTTAATAAGGTTACCAGAGAAATAGCAAATCCTCACTTTTGGGGATAGGAAACCTGGTAAATATTAAGGTTTTTCTCTTAACATGACTAATTTTTATTTTTAATGGATGACTTTTTGAATAGTCCTACTCATGCATTGTTATTAGAAACTTTTTATGGCAGCTCATGGTATGATTATAAGACCTTAAGCCTACGCGGTACAATAGCTAATGCCAATTAACGTCAGAGAGGGGTTGTTGTTTTGCAGCAGGTTATTTCTTTTATCAGCGATTGAATGACATTAAGGTTACCACCAAGTTGGATAGGGGGTATATTTCAAGGGTCTGAAAAGAACAGCTCTCAATAAATTTTCATATAAGTGCAGCCTGAAAAATAAAGCTGCCTGTGGCTCGAATGCAAGTGGAGGGGGTGAACGACTGGCTGGACAGCAGGAGGAATAACAGCATTCATTTGTCAAAAGTCACATTCGTTCAGAGGCACAACTGTCACTTTACCTGCAGCCGAGACAGTCTCTGAGCTTTGCTATTATTTGTTCAAACCAGCTCTCCATGCCAAAATTTCACATCATTCTATGCCATTTGAGACACCTGTCAACAAACTGACTGATGAGGACAGACAGAGCAGCGAGTTATAGGAAGATAGGGATGGAAAATCTTATTACTAAGGCTGATTTGCCCATGCTCCCCTCTCATTTAATATCTGTATCAAGTGAGAGAGATGAATTGCTTTTTTTTTTTTTAATTAGCCAATGTTTGTAAGGAGGAGTTTGTTGAATACAAAATGAGGCAGTTCAATTACTAGAGGTGCACAGGGTGACAGGCTTAAGTGTTTCATGTTATCAGAGGCTGGAGAAAGCGGTATGCGTTTTCACTTCAGTGATGCTGGTGAGATCCTGTGTATGTATGAATGTGTACGTGGAGCCTCATACATCACACGGCAAAATTCTTCATTCCTTAGTTTTATTGCATTATTCTTTGAATTGCTGATAAGACTGACATCACTAGCCTTCATACGGACTCCATAAGGACTTTAAATAAATGTTTACCAGCAAAAGTATATTGCATCATGTGACTAAACTCCCAAAACATCTCTGAATTATTATTTTGGGCGGCCCTTTTAGTTTTAGTTTTTATTTTAGGCTTCCAGAATAATTATTCCAAGTATGAAAAGGGTGTTAAAAAGTCTCAAGATTGAAGATGACTTTTGCGCTGTAATTTCTTTTTCTCTAAATCATTGTCACTGCAATAATAAGATTTCTTTCCTCATGTCTTTTGTGACTTTCACATGACCAAGCTTGTGACTGGAACTAAAAAAACTAATTTCAAAGCTCAATATATCATTACACAACACAGCATGCTATATAATAAAATCACGGTCTCTCAAAAGACCCAAGTATTTTGGGTGAAGGAGGCTTGTAGCTGCTTGAAGTAATGAGGACATACTGCATAGACATGTAAAATGTCCTCAGTATGTCCTCAATATTATATATATATATATATATATATATTATAAACTATGAAATACCTGCCTGTAAACAATTCAGTGACAATACCAGGTATCTGAAGAGTTGTGGGCTCAGCAGATTTCCTGTTACAGCAGCTCCAGGCCCATCTGGTCCACACTCTTGTGATTGGACATTGGGGCTGCCTCTTTAGTACTGAAGTCAAGTAAGAACCAACTTGTACTAAGAAATTCAACATATCATCAACATAGATCTGTACATTTAAATCTTGCTATCTTGTCAAAGAGGGCATTTTCACAAGACCCTGACAAGGAACCTTTCAGCTGCTCAATCACATGCATTTAGATGTTGTTGAACAGGCAACATTATTCGGTATAATGAGAAAGGTATAATTTATACCTTTATCTTTTTGTGAGAAAGCTATTCTTGTGGTCTTCTTATAAAATACTTTGCAAAAAAATCAATTAACCACCTTGTCAATGTTTACGTTTACATAGTTACTCTGAAACATTGAGCCTCAAGATAGCATGGTTATCAACAATAGTTTATTGCATATGGAGTTTTTTTAAGATTAAGTGATAAAAACATCAAAAGCTTTCTACTTTCAATGGATGAATATGGTCTGAAGACAATTAATTTTTTTTCATGTGAATAGTTTACGGAAACAATTGTTCCCAAAGATGAGATTATCATTCTAAATGATGGTTTAATTGTACATTTTGCATTTAATTTTATGGTCAGGAAGACTACATATCGGCAGAATAACCAGCCTTTTTACTTTGAAATTATCGAAATTTGATATTAGATGTTTGATACATGATATCTACTGCTTTTCTATTCTAGTGTTCCCTTTCACACATAGCCATGCATTTTTTTGCCAAAATGTTTACGTTTATTCAATTGAGAGGAATTCCATCACACGGATTAGTCCACTGATGCACCACTGCTGTGTCCCTGAGTTTTTTCTCATCAAGGTCTGAGTTCAGTAGATACTGCTTCATCTGCTTATAACAGCATGCCGATTAGACCTAATGAGACTTACAGACTTTAGGCAAGATTCCCGAATAACCTTCAGTGATGTGTTCTCTTTGAAACAAACCCCAGGAACAAAGCACACTTAATGAAAGATTTACAGTTTATTCAGAGCAGACAAACAACTTTGAACATTTACATGGGATGAGAGTTTGATCTTCCTTCAAACTATCAAATTTTTTTGAATGCTGAGCAATCCTGAGTAACCGAGTAAAGGCAGCTTGAAGACGTTTCACCTCTCTGATGAAGTGCGTCTTTAGTTTTTAACTGCAATGTGGAGAGTATCAGCTGCTAAGCAGAGAAGAATGTAAGAGTCTCAACCCGTGATCATTGTGTGATTCATTAGTGGTTCTCCCATGCAGTGTGTCAAACTTTCTGAAAGACTGAGTTTTGGTCACAAAGTTGTTTTTTCCAGTTTGCCGTACATGGCTTTCTTCTCTTAAACCCCCTGTATTTTCTGTTCGTAATGTGTCCGTTACTCTCAGAAGTTTTTTATCCTTGAGAGAGATGAAATGCTGAGTCTTGGTCTGAAGTGCTGGCTCTCCTAAACTGTGACCTTGAATTTGCTCTCTCCTCTGTAGAGGTCATCCCAGTCTTTACTGCACTGTACTGCATACAGCACACCTCCAACAGCTCCTCAAGCAGGATGACTTACAATCCCCCCCAGCAATATAAAGCTATATCTTTATACTGTGGTGTACTTGTTTGTCACCTTGAGCTGCGGTGGCAAACCATTATTTTTTCCTAAATATAATGAAATTCTCTATATTTGAATCGAATAGTTTACTATCAAGGATTTGCAGATTTCAGCATCAATTATTGACAGGCCCTAGTCTCCCTTTACATTTGAATTTTTTAATTTCCAGCATGTCCTCAAATTATGAGTCTTCTTCCATCCAGTTGACAAATGCAAATGCTACTGGGAACTGCTACTTTGATGATTAAGCTGCCCACTGCATGCCTCTGTCAGTCAGGTGTGTGAGAGGTATTTGAAATGGCCAGTTAAGTGTTTAAAGGTTCCCAGAGGAAGCGACCCTGTTGTATTGTAATGTCCTTAATCTCAGAGGTGAGAGTTTGTTTATTGCACCATTTCACCTGCTGCAACCTAACTTGTGTCGTTTTTTTTCTGTCTCACCCTCGCCATCTTTATCTCTCACTCGATCATTTCTCAATGTTAATTATTCTTGCCATGCCCATTTCCCCTCTCTTGTTATCTGTCCTGAGAGAGACTCAAACTTGTGTCCCCTCTGTCTCATCCTCTTTTCCTGTATGTCCTTCACTTGCCTCATCTCCTCCCTCCATTGTTTGTACCAGTGGGAGCTGTAAACTCCCTGTTTATGCCACCACATTTACATTCAACAACATTTCTCAAGTTTATGCCTTGAAAATCTCCACTCCATCTTCTCCCTGCCTTAAGCACCGACTTCTCTGACTTCTTTACTGGTTGACAGCACACAGTCAGTGTAATCCGCTCACAGATATCCCAGCTAAACAGTAACTACTATGTGGCATGTTACAATAGCTAGTGGATACTATGCAACTATGGTATCTAATTAGTTGATATGACCTCTAGATTATTGAACCTTCTTCAAGCAAACAAAGCACTCGCTGTTTATGGTGAACTGTAATTTGTTTTGTATCCTATTTTTCCTGTTAGCACAGCAGTAACAAAAGCCAGTCCTAAATTGACTTATGCCTAGTTTATTTCTGCTTCATTTTGCTTTTGTTTTCTTGGGGTCTACGTTTGTCTCCATTACAGAGAAGTGTTGGAATGGATGATTAACTTGCAAATCTTTGTATAAGGTCCTCATATGATATAGAAACTTATATTTAATATCTACAACAGCAAAGATTTAAAATACAGAGGGGTATCTGAATAAATGAAAAATTGACACAACAAACCAGACAGAGTGGGTTAAATGAAAATAATACTGTTGTGTTTAAATGAACAGCCACAATAACTGATATGTTGTAATAGGTAGACATTTCTATTAGTTAGATTAAAGTTAAATCTTAACGTTATAAGTGTACAGCCAAAATAATGTCTTGTGTTTCAACAGTGGCACCAGCCATGAACTTGAATGTGCGAGGAGTGACAGATCGTACCATCGACATGGAGTGGGAGGGGTCCGTTGTGTTGACAGATTTCTTAGTTACCTACACACCGAGCAGCCCAGGAGGCAAGTGCAGATCTGAGCTTACATTTCTGAGTAACACTTATTGTAACAACATTACCTGTAGAGTAATTACAGACTAATAGAAGTTTCCTCCTCATATAAAATCATCTTTTGTCTTGTCTCTTTGTCAGGTGTCCAGCTAGAGTTAAGGATTCCAGGCAATACCACGACCTGCACTATTTCTGGACTGGAGGCAGGCATGGAGTATAACGTCAATGTGTTCGCTGTCATTAACAACACAATCAGCGTCCCTGCCAGTATTACCGTTTGGACTTGTGAGTTTTATATTCTCTATTTCTTTTGTCGTTTCACTTAACACTTGATTAACACTCCTTGATTTCAGTCTTTTGCAAAATTGGTTGCACGTTTGTGCCGTTACTCATCAGTCGTGTAAAGTAACACAAAACTGTCTTATTTTTTTTATTATTTTAGATCTTTAAAAGTAATCTCAAAGTGAAATAAGAGCACTATGTTTTCCCATCTTTGACATGGCTACAATTTTCACCTGTAACCTTTAATTTGCACACACTCCACACACACTCAAACATATGATATCAGGGGCTAATGTTGCTCTTAGATATGTTAAGAAAATATGGCTTACTAAGTTTGTGTATGAATCAAACCCCTGGGGAAGTAATGGACCATTCAGTGTGTCATCTGACATAAACATATTTCTTATAGCGCCATTAAGACCAGTAAACGTATCATCCATTTCATGGTTATGTCAGTTTCATTTCAGTAATGGTCGATTTTTGAGTAATAAAATAGGACAAGGGCAGTTAAACTTAATGAAAGAATCTTTAAGTCGGGGAATTATTTTTCAGGTGGTATTTGTAAAATAAACACAATCGAGAATTTGATCATCCGAAATGATTATGCTTGTGAAAAAGATCATTTTTAACTTGACAGAATGAATTGGACTTTATAATCGGAAACTACTTTGACTGAGGAACCTGGGATTGTGAACCTGATGAAGCTTTGGATTCTCAAGTATCAAATGTGTGTGCACCTGCCTATAAACGGGACTGTTATATAAACAGCTGGTAATGTTTGCAGTATATAATTTGTAAAAATAAATAAATAAAACTAAAGAAATATGTTAAAGGCAATTGAACGGAGAGAAAAAGTGACAGAGAGACGTTCGGGATTGGACCTCTTCAGCATTATCTGAAATGATGATTTATGGTAGGTGTGGAACTACAACATATTGTCTGACTTCTTCTCCAGATCTCTCCAATCCGGATGGTTTAGTCTTCAAATCAATCACAGAGACGTCGGTGGAGGTCCAGTGGAAACCCTTCTACTATTCCTTTGATGGATGGGAGATCAGTTTCATCCCCAAGGTAGAGCAAGGCGTTGTGATGCTTAGGAATGTATTGGTTTTGGTTTATGTGCTTCTACACACACACATGATGCAGGTTTGCCAACATGTAGGGATGTTTTTTGGGTCATGAGATCAATCTTCTGCTGTTCATGTTTCAACTCATGTATTTATAAAGACTAATAATATAAAAAAGGCTAGGGTTCCCATAGAACGTTTTATCCCTTAATGTTAATGCGTTGTGTTTAATTAAATTGCTCATACATGTCAGAGTGTGATATAATAAGTGAACCTTTCTTTTTTATAAATAAATGAGTTGCATTGTGTTATCAAGCTTATTGCTATGACTGAGGTGCACAGGCATAATTAAAGGCTTCAAACTGTGTTGAATTAATCTGTTTAATTTAGTAACTTATGTTAAGTTTTGGGAAAATTAGTATTAATCATAGTCAGTATGATTAATCTGTAACATCAATTCTCAAATAACAGAAACTAGTCAGAGAACCTCTACATTTCTGAACAGGAGGAAAATATTTCAAAACAGTTTAATATTCATGTTGATGAGTTCAAAACTATCTGAAAACCAAAGACCGAAATCAAACAAATTAGATAAGAGGATTGTATTGGCCTTGTTAGCCATTAAACAGATCAGCTACTACACACATTTCCTATTTCTTTACAAAACCATAGTTTTGTAAGTTTCAAGCCAAAATGCAGAGAACCCCTTCTGTCTAGTACCAGCTGTAAACTCGGACACTCTTTGGACTCTAATCTCATCCCCTCTCACAGTAATTGGTTTTCTCCTTTAAGATGTTCTCTGCAGAGATATCCTCTGGTTCGACCCGTCTCTAAGCCCCAAATCAGATGTTGAGATGCTTTTGCGTGTCTACGTTTTAAGCCCTTATAAGGACCATAGTTTGAAAATGGGGGAAAAAAGGGCAACAGTCTAATTTTATTTTATTGCTTTTAGCCCTCACTTTCTCCTTCCCTGTATCTGCTCCCTGATGTTTCACCACTGTCACCTTCCCTTTATCTTCTTCCATTCCCCTCAACCTTTCCTCCTAATCCCTTGATTAAAGTTTCCATCCCGCACCTCTCAGCTAATATCTGTAACTCGTTCCTCTCTAACTACACTCTATCCTTTTATTTTATTGTACATGGTCTCTCTTTAGTCTTACCTCACCTTCTGCCTCTCTATAGTCACATGGGAAATCATATTAAGAATTGGCAACCCCACCCCCCATGGATTTAATCCAGCAGAGGGGATTGTGAATTTTGACAATCTCATAATGGAAATGGGCATGAAAGCTCTGGACCTGTGTGAAAAAATACAATGCACACTGAAAAGGACACGAAGAGGAAGGAGGGAGGGTTTAGCTTCAAGACCACCAGCAAACAATGAAGTATCATTCTGCCATTGTTTTTTTGGTACATAGATCTACTACCACACTATATACTGGTAACATCACTGGTTACTGTATGCAGCCTTTAGAAACTGTATCAGCATTCCGCAGTATCAATGTGGGGTTTCATCCATTTGAATAAACGCACTTCGTTTCTCATTTCATTTTTCAAAAATGCATTTTATCTATCTTCAAAATGGAATTTACAAACACAGAAACACACAGACTACTATGCATGAGATTCCCTGACGCATCCTCTCATTGTGATTCACAGCGAAAGGGAACAGTAGAAACCCAAAGGTCAAGACTCATAATGACTTGGTGCCCATTTACAGTATGTCCACTATATTTTATTGAGAGATAATGATTATGTGAATCTTGTTAATTAAGGCCATGGCTAAAGATGTTCGGATTATATCTTCATCCTTCACTCCTGAAAAGGGAAACACAGTGGCATCTAAATCAGAAATCCATATTAATTTGTGTTTATTAAATTGTCTAATAAAGTGGAACGGATCTTTGGAATTTAAAATTCTATTTTTCTTTATGTACATAAAGAATGTATGTCACTGTCTTCAGTCAAGATTGAAACCACTACAGTCTGTTCAAGAAACAGCCTGCAAAGAGGACAGCTTCAAAGTTAAATTATGGTTTGCAGCTGTTCATATGGACAAAGAAAAAGTATTCTGGAGGAATGTGTCTTTGGACAAAGAAGACTGATATATTGATGAAACAACATAAACCAGATATATGTTCGAGGTAGTAGAAAATTGTTCAAATTTCAGGTTTAGATGAATATCCAAAAAGCAACCATATCAGCCCTGAGGATGATCATTATCTATATCATACATTACCTATATTATCATATTTATCAATAATATTGTTATCAAATGACTCTCATAGGTGTTATGTCTCACAGGGCAAATAGTCGAAGTGACTTTACTTATTTGTTATATATTCTGCTTGGTTTTCAAGCATTCAAAGCACTGCTGGGTTGGGTTCTCGACCAGTAGGTAAAACATCTGTCAGGAAATGCATTTGCAAAACTGGCTCTGATAACAGCTGGTTGTAGCTGGGACTCTGCATAGATGAGTGACAGCCCTTTGGAAACATACTTAGTCCTACCTCTGCAGACCATGGCCTCAGAGACATCACGTTTGCGTGCACATTTTTGCAGTGGTATGAGTTCTGGGACCGTAACGTGCTGAACTATCCAAAAGGTTACAAATGAGTGGAAAGCAAATGTATGGAAGATATGGAATCTTTGCTGACATTGAAATGAACATTTAAGTCAATGTTATTTCATGTGTGGAGAGTTTGTGATTTGTCAGGATATTTGAATGGTGTTGTTTTTTGCCAAAAATGTGCAATATGTGTGATTTCTTTTTTTTGTTTTTGGTTCATTTTTCAGGACAATGATGGAGGGATGACCACACAACTGCCAAGTACTATCACTTCATTTGTGCAAACTGGTTTGAGACCAGGGGAGGAGTACACAATTAACCTGGTGGCCCTCAGAGACCAGGGTAGAAGTCAACCCGTTACTGCAACTTTCACAACATGTAAGTATGTAAAAATGTGAGTTATAAATAACCAAGAAACAACCTTTTGTTGGGTGTTTAAATTAAGAGATGCATGGCTTTGGCGTTTGTCTATGCTCGTCATAGTTTACCACAAGGCTCACAGGAACAGTGTATTGCTAGTGAGTGGAGACAGCACACATGCAGGGATTTTAGTCTGTTATTCATTAATACCCTGGGTGTTTGTGACATAATGTCAAAAATTAAGAAAAATATTCCAGCTGACACTTCCCTGGACAGCTGTAATAGATCCAATTCAAGTCTCGTCTATAATCCTAGCTCTGATGTCTACAGTCAAAACACCATCAATATGCTGTCAAGCTTTTGTTCATTTCATAGGTTGTAATTAAGTATTGATTAATAATTCATGACACCCCCATTAATGTTTCACATCTGCTCACTGCATGACACCTTATTGGGTAAAGAAAGAGTAAAAGACAAATTTTAGGTGCCTAAATTATTTATAGGAAAGATTTATTCTTCCTTGGAGACGAAGGGAGCACCATGAAGAGTCAGGAGGAAAACCAGAGGGAGAGCACAGCTGATGCAGGACTGGTCCTCGGCAACCCTTTTCCTCAGGAAGTTTTCTAGGACAAGACCCAAGGGGCCTATTTCTAATGCATCAAGAATCTGGATGGGCCCGCAATGTGTCAAGGCTGCGTCCAGGACTTTTTTAGAACTCATAGAAATATGTAAAGAGCAAAGAACGCATCCTAAATAACTAAGGCTGCGAGAAGTGTTTTTCATGAGTAAAACCCAAGCAACAGAGAATAATTAGATTGTCAAAGGGATGTGTTGTTCTTTCTGTTTCGAAAAGATGTCTGGTTAACTATTTGCTGTTGTGAAAACTATTGGTCAAGTCCGCAGCAATTTATGTTTATCAGTACACGTATTTCAGTACTAATCTTTTAAAGGTGATTTTGAATGAATTCATGGGTTCATTACATTTGAATTAAATCAAGTGATATGTTGGGTTCAAAGACAGATACAATTTCTGGTATTCTACTAGCTGCAACAGATGGCAAAGCATAACTTTGGGGAAATTACCAGGCTATTGATATGAATCACTAATTGTCACCTTCTGTAATATGTCATTAACTTGAATGAAATGTCTTAATTTGCAATGCGAACAAGCTGAGAAAATATCCAGTGAATTCATTATCCGTTAAACATTTGTATTCCTCTCAGTACACCTGTTGTACGCACATCTCTTCGCACTTAAATAAGTATTTTCCTGAAATCAGCATGGGAACACTTGAATGTCAATTTACGGTTTACACCCACTGTAGTCTTTTGTCTCAGTATGTGTCAGATTGGATAACTTCATTTGCTAGTCCTAGCTACTTTTACTGATAACCATTTCATATCTACCAATGAAAAAGGAAGCAAAATTAACATGAACATATAAAGTTTTGCATTCCAAAATACCTGAGAAACATGACTGAGATATAGTAGAGCCAGAGGCTGATATCCAACAATATGTCCATATAATCAAACATGTACTTTCATCCTTACATTTAGTTTTTACTTGTGTTTTGGTATCAGATTTTAACATTAACTTTATTGATCTGTTTTTAGTATCTTGTTATTTTTGTCTTTTATTTATTTATTTATTTTTACTGTTGACTGTTTTACAGATAGAGCTTGAAAAAATGCACAAATTACTCCATTCTCTTTCAGCATTGATGCCCCTTCAATTTGGGTCGGGGCCAATGAAAGATTCCCCCTTTTAGGCTGAAATGAACTCAACATAGAATTTTAGAAAATGCTAAGAGGTGAAAACCTATCTATATTTTGGACTAGTAAAGTCGTAGCAGGTTGTATTCCTTCCTTTTTTTAAATCTGCCCCTTAAATGATAACAATAGTATCCGACACTCAGCTACAGTAAGGAAAACAAAGTGGCAAACCAATGGTATGGTTGTCAAAGAGACTTAACTGGTGTGGCTCACCTTTGTTCATGACAATGACAAAAGGATGCTTGTTTTTCTTTGTTTTGCAGTGATTGATGGCCCCACTCAGTTGATTGTGAGGGATGTGTCAGACACTGTGGCATTTGTGGAGTGGACGCCTCCAAAAGCAAAGATCGATCAGATTGTGTTGCGTTATGGCCTTGTGGGAGGAGAGGGGGCATGGACAACCTTTCGTCTTCAGCCCTCACTCAGCCAGTACTCTCTACAGGTGTGTGTGTGTGTGTGTGTGTGTGTGTATAGAAGTCGCAGATTTCATCACGCTGTCACATAATGAGAGCTCACCTGTCATCTGCAGACAGTGAAAAACTGTTTGAGGTTGTGCTAATTTTATGTATTTGCTTTGAAAATGATCTGATCTCTGCATGCCGTCTGTATCTGTAGATAAAACAAAAATGGTAGCAGAAAAAATGTATACAATGAGCTCAAACAACCCATTTTCTTCTTCACGCAGGTGCTTCGTCCTGGCTCACGATACGAGGTGTCTGTGAGTGGTGTGAGGAAAGGAAACGAGAGCGGTTCTATTTCCACTGAATTTACCACCGGTGAGGTCTGACAGCAAGCAGATGTGTTGGCGGTGATGTGTGGGAGGGTGTCACTCTGATCTTGAGCTTGCCTTTGAGAAAGGAACAGTAAATTAAAAATTGCCTAATGCATGCCACATTGTTTATTTGCACTGGATAAGGTTGTGAACATCTGTTCGCCTGGTAATTGTTTTCCTAAAGTTTGTGGAATAGAAAGGTATTATCAATTTTAACTGCAAACTTTATTGCTGCAGATTCATCTATATTATTTGATATAGCAATTCAATATATATATATATATAGAATTTAGTTTCTTTCTTTCAATATGTGATACTGTTTAAACTGCCAATTTTTTCCGGTTTACAATTCCTGAGAATTGGTCTCTGTGTCCCCAACATTGTCAGCTTTATCGTTCTTCTCAGAGATCGATGCCCCCAAGAACTTGCGGCTTGTATCCAAGACCTCCACCACCCTCGAGCTGGAGTGGGATAACAGTGAGGCTGAGGTAAAGAGACACGCACCAGATTTAATCAATTTGTATCGATTTCCATTCAGGCTCTTTAAGTGATTGATGGGTGAGGTATGCACCTCAGGACAGTTTAGTTACGTGAATGTCAGTTTTTGCATCGCCTTTAGTTGTGTCGTTTTCATTTTCCAGATGGTACCCCAGCTCTTTTTTCTCTTCCTCATTTTTATTATTGAATGTCTTTGATTTTTTACTGAATAAATCAACACAGAGATATTTATCGTACATTTAATGTGCGTTGAGTTGCTCATTCAGTCTTATTATGTAATAATGCATCCTCTTCTTTATTTTAAAGGGCCACACTTGAATTTTTAGTGATATGTTTTTTAAGAGTCTGTTCCTACACTCTTTGGAAGTTAAATAATCTATTTGATATAATTTATGTCAGTATTACAATAAATTATTATTGTTGTCATTTCTACTGTCTAAATTAGCTGAACATGTGTTATTGAGCTAGTAATGATAAGATAACAGTTTTGAGCCACTGCATTCTTGGCATTGTATATTACCAGGTATAAAAACGCAGTTATTGAGGCACAAAATGAATCGTCATGAAACAAAGCTATAAGCCCAAAAGTATGACCAACATTATTTTTAAATTTTTTTTAGACAAGCTTACTTTTTATTTCCTTGAAATAGTCTTCAGGAAAACCTCTCCAGGATTGGTATCCTTCTTATTTTAATTTTGTTCATACTTTAATGTTTGCAGTTTTTTTTTCATTTTGGTGTAAAGTTGAGGGCTAAGAGCTTGTAAGGACTCACCAGAAGGCCACACTTTAAGACTCGTCACCACTGACAGGAATCCAGTTGTGGTGTTATTTGACACATTTCACCAATCTGCTCATATTTCTTCTTCCTGACAGTAGCTTGGATTTTTCATGGAAAATACTACGCTAAATGACACAATTTCACAGTAATGGATCATTTGGTGCAAAAAGATATTTCAGACCTGTCAAACTGTTACCTTACATGTTGTGGAGTGAAATGTCAAACGATCCTATGACAAAAACAAGCTATTTATTTGATCAACAACCATATATACAGTCAAGTTTTCACCCCCCAGATGATCACATACAGATAGCTGAACACATTCTACTTTCCTTTAACTAAATATTTTGCATACGTATTTTTTGAATGAGAGTGAAATGGACAGCACTTAACCACACTCAAATATTAAAAAAGAAGTCGACTTAATTTACTGGGATAAGTTGCAAAATGAGGCACAGTGGTGGGGTAGCTTCACAGCAAGAAGGTACTGGGTTCAAGTCCCGGGGGAACCAGGACCTTTCTGTGTGGAGTTTGCATGTTCTCCCTGTGGCTGTGTGGGTTCTCTCCACGTTCTCCGGCTTCCTCCCACAGTCCAAAAACCCGTATGTTAGGTTGATTGGACATTCCAAACTGCCTGTAGGAGTGAATGTGAGTGTGTGTGGTTGTTTCTCCTTGTATGTCTTGTGTGTGGTCCTGCGATGGACTGGCGGACTGTCCAGGGTGTACCCCGCCTATCGCACATTGACCACTGGGATAGGCTCCAGTCCTCCCCGCGACCCCCTTAGGGAATAAACGGTAACGATAATGGATGGATGGATGGAAGTTGCAAAATAAAGGACAAATACCTAACATGTTTATTGAGTTTTTGATGGGAAAACATGACATTTCCATAGACTGTGACAAAAGTATAATGAAAGTGCAAAGAGAATTAATTTTGTTTGTCTCCTCCTCTCTGCCCCCATCTTCACCCAACAAGTTGTAGACAGATGTTAATAACTACCCTGCATATTTAAAACTGTATTGAATGAATGTATCTTAACACTATATAGATTCTGCTTTCTCCCTCTCTCTCTCTCAGTTGAAGGTCTTGGATGAGCTCAGGTTGGATGATGGCAGTGTAACGTGCATTCAGATGTGATGCCAAAGGCTCCTTACATAGCAATGTAACCTCTTCTGATATTCCCTTCTGCTGACTGTTGTAAATGTTCAAATGCTTTTGATTAAACGCAGGTGGAGGCCTACCAGGTGGTGTACAGCACTTTAGCAGGAGATCTGTATGACAAAGTCATTGTACCACGCAATGAGGGTGCCACCACTAAGACGACTCTCACGGGTAAGTAATAAATCACAATGTGTTTTTCCTCCTTTGCTTGTGTTGCTGTACCTTCTTAAATGTTTGTAGTTTTAACATTTTGGATGTTAAATTGTCCTAATGTCTAATGAAGAAGCTGTGGAAGTGCCTGTGTTTTACATGGCAGAATATCCTCAGAGCTAACATTTGGTTGACGGGCTACTGATTGTATCTGTAGAAATGCTTGCTGTCCTGCAGGCGTATTGAAAGGCTGTCAGAGAGATTGGTCAGATGAGGTGTGATTTCTTTTTTTTCTGAAACACTTGTGCTGCAAAGGCCATGGCCTGCAAAAGGTCCGTGCCTTATTCTGTAAGGCCACAGTAATCGATGCTCTTTCCATTCTTATTCATTAACCGTAAAACCAATTTTCCCTCTCCAAGTCTCTACCTTCTTATAATCTATTATCCATCCCCTTATTTTTCATCTCATCTCTTCGTTTTTATTTCTACAGCTCAGGCAACTAAAACATACTCAAATGATTTCAGTCAGATCCATTATGTAGTTGGCAGAAACAGATTTCTTCAGAAATCATACCAACGCTCACCTAAATCTAATCATTATTTCTGTTGTGGAGTTTGTGCTAATGTGAATTAATGACAAGGAAGGGAGAATGCCAGACATTTTGTTATATGGCTGTATGGCTGTAATATTGCCAGTTCCCTCTCCGTCTTTCTCTGCATTAGATCTGCTGCCGGGCACAGAATATGGTATCGGTATTTCTGCCATGAAAGGTAGCAACCAGAGCACACCAGCAACAATGAATGCAAGAACAGGTGAGTGAATTACACTTTGTGATCTCCTTTTAGATGAGGAGGGATTTTTACATAAACACTAAAACACACAAAGTGAATCACAGAAGAGTTTGTGTTCAAATCCCAGGATAACACTCTGCTAGTCTGCTCATTTGTTACTGTCCACTTAGTGCTGGACTTCTGATCTGGGTCAGTCCTTCTGTTCCAGTCTTAAACAGCAGATTCTTCCTTTTTGCTTTTTAATGAAACTGCGTGGCTGTTTTATAATACATATTAAATAGGATAAAAGTTCCCATTAAAATACAGAAATCGGTATTCAATAGATCATTTAAATTTGTGTTGTGTTTGGACTTTGTTGGCTGGAAAAAACTTGAAAAGTGACCGGAAAGATTTGAATCACCAATCTCTCCCATGGTGGTCTTCTCTTGTTGTTAGTGTAATGGCTGGAAGTATTTTCATGACAAACAAAAGTATACCTACACTGTCCACTTCAACTTGTTCCACACCTCATGGATTTGAAGCATGTGACTTTCTTCATATTTCTTAAATGCATTTATCCATGCATCTTCTTTTATTTGCCTGTGACTGAGAATGAGCTGCTAACACCGAAGTTTCAGGCATGCTGATAAAGATGAGAAGATTAAAAAAAACTTGGGATCCATCGGGCAAGTAGGAGGTCCATTGGAAATGAACATTCCTGGAAGCTCAATGTGAAATTGTTATCATGGGTATTTTATCATGATGGGTTTTCTTTGATGTCAGTGCTACAGCAGATAGCTAGTATGTAATAACACATTGTAGATAAGATTGCATCAGAAACCAATTTCAAACATACAGATAACTTACAAGGGTTTTGTATTTTGGCTTAAATCTTGGGTGTAACATTTAATTTTTATATGTCATTGAATATGCTATACTTTTCATAAACTGAAAACTATGTGGTCTGCAAGAAAATAGTGAAAATGGCTTATGCATTTTTATATGTGAAGCTGAGGTCACCAGCTATCCAAAACTAACACGTATTCAGACACATTTACATGAGACTGTGTTATTAACGATCACCCCTATTGCTCTTGTTTGATGCATTTCCCCTCCCATGTTAGTTTTTCCTTCAAACCAAGTGCAATTATTGTGGACAAACGTGATTTAAGTACTTGTCCACCATGCATTTAAAGATAGCAATTGAAAGATAAAGACGTTTTCTAGTGCAAATGGAGGAAGAACATGTAGGGACATGTCGTTTAAAATGGGATTGACACAATCCTCTGTAGATTTTTACAACCCTACACTAAAAGTTGCAACTTGCAAGATTATGGCAGGATCCAAATCTTTCCCTAAACCTCCTCCCATTAGCATATTGGTTGCGGCTTTGAGTTGGCTGTTTCCCATTGCAAAGTTGAGTTTGATAATGGTAAAATGCTGATAACAGAGGGCAGAGAGAATCTTGCAGTAAACAACAGCTTATCTCCGGGGTTTTTAGCGGTGGAGTGTTTGAGCTTTGATAACACTGTGGAGCAGCTTGTTCTGCTGTTGTTGTGCATATAACACAAACCTGAGCGGGCAATACACAGTGTTGTCACCTGTGTTGTCACATTATGCCATCAAACAATACCAAGTGGTAAAGTGCCATGAAATGTTGCAAAGCACATGTGCAAACAGCAGAGATAAATACTTAAACAAGAAAACTATTAAAAATATGATCAAGACAAAGATCCCAGTCATTTGTGGCTCACTCCTTTGCTATGTATGAAGCCAGCAGTGTCCTTCAGGCTTTCAGTCAATATGCTCATGGAGAATACTACCTTAACATTGTGCTTTTAAAGTGCTTAAATGGCATGTAATGTTACATTACAACTGTGCTGTAAGCCCAGTCATGTTTCCTCTGATGCTTTAGGTCTGGATGTACCCATGGATCTAACTGTGACAGCTTCTACCGACAACACCATTTCTCTGATGTGGGGCATAGTCCAAGGTCCGATCGACCATTACAAAGTCACCTACACATCTTCTTCTGGTGTTTCCTCCGAGGTGAGGGGTTTGAAAAAACAATCGCATGTTCGCAATGATGCAACTGTGGATTATTTGTATGAAATAAGATTGTAGTGAGTTAAGAGATTGAACTGAATCCAGTCTTATGTCTATATGTCTGATCCCCGTTCCAGCTTACAGTCCCCAAAGATGTAACCACAACCACTCTGACAAACCTTGAGCCTGGAACTGAGTATACCATCACCGTAGCAGCAAGAAGAGGAAGGCAAGAGAGCAACGCAGCGACAATAGATGCTTTCACAGGTAAGGAGCGCAATCAGATTCTGTTGTCTGAGAGAGGGCTTTGCTTTGCTTTTGAAAAGCATGGAGCTCTGGAAAGATGTTTGAAGTTTATATTCAAAAGACGCTAAAGTTATGAAGGATGTGTTCTTCCATTAATATACAAAGTATTAAGTGCTTTGTTTTATTTTGCCCGCACATTTTGTGAAACAATAATATTATAGCGGCTCAGTCATCAGAAAGGGCTCAAATGAATCATTTTTGTGCCCCTGCGCATAAAATGACATAAAACATTATTACAGAAAGCTTGGCACAGTTCTAAAGACAGCAGTGAATAATTGAGTTGAGTGGTAAATACAATAAACTCCAGTGTGGCAGCAGGTAAGTTGAGTCACACAAAGAAAACAGAGGACCTTAAAGGACTTTGAAGAAGCAATTAGCAAAGGTAAATTATTCAAGTCGGCTAATGAGTTTCTTACAAGTGTTTCTTAATTGCACCTATGTTGTGCATCCTAATGTATTTGTGTTTTATTCGTCCGACTTGTGTTCAACACCACATTCTCTCAGTTAAGCTGTTTTTCTTGATTCTGTCTGCTTATCCCACTTGTGTCTGAGCCTGATGCTATTTCTTCGTTTCCAGTCTCTCAGTTTAGTTATTTTCTGACAGGGTTTTCTATCCATCTAATTGCATGTCAGGTCACCTAACAATCTTTTTAAGCTCTTTGTTCGTTTCACAAAAAGCTTGATGTGATTTACCGTTTCACAAAAGGTGGTGTATAACTGATGAGCATGTGCACACCTGCTGTCAGATGTGTCATTGTTGTCTTCACTGCTGTCATTATCATCCTTTTTCTTCTTCTTCTTCATTGTGACCACCATGGCAGTTGTCACTGTCACAGCATTATCAACACCATATTCATCCACTGTTGTTAACCGAGGCTCCTTCTGTATCTGCACTTTAACTATCTGCCGAGAGACGAGAGGAAGATAAAATCACAGATCAAGAGAGTTATAGGATAAGGATTATATTGCTTGTCATCTTCTCATCCAGTGTCTCCCACATTGACAACATCTGTCTGCCTGCACCGACAAACTCCTGATAATGACAAAAAATCAGGCATACTAATCAAATATTAATCACAGAACGTCCTCAGTACACCACTGTCTGTCATTTAGTTTGTCTCTGTCAGGGAATGAGTTCTGGTTTTCTGCAAGCTACTCAGATTTAATCATTTATGTGTGGTATTGCTTTACACTACATAAACCAGAGTACTCTTGGGGATTCCTTAGACAGTCTGTTACTGGATCTCTTTAAGTGATCCATTTTTATTTGAATTTATTCATTTGCCCACCAATTCCTGTTCTTGGGAGTAAGAGGGAATAAACCTTAAAATACAGGATAAATGTGTTTACATTATTTGTCTTCACAATTTATTTCCAGTATTGGAATATATTTAGCATTTTCAAGAGTATTACTAGAGGACATATTTGTGCACTGTTGGAGCTGGCCTTAATTTTTAGTGCTAGACCCTTCAGAAAAACTAACAGTTTAAACTTTTTATACAACTTTCGTCACCTCTGTTCCACATTGCTCACAAACAGAGAGCAAGAGCACAGCACAAGAACAAGTACTAAAAAAACAACTCTTTTCCTTTCTGAGTTTAATGAAATTGAACATGAAGAGGACAACTTTCACTTTCGCATTCAACGCTTCTATGTGGCCACTTTCCCTCCATCTCGCCTACTTCTAAATTAATGCCACAGCAAATCACTTTCTGTCACCTTGACCAAAAACGGAACCTTCATCACAGCCACCTGCTTGGCCATCACACTACAGTGGAACACTCCTGAAATATGCAATCCAAAATGAGAGCAAACCACTGACTTTTCTGCCGGAGAGCCAGGTCTGGATCAGTCCTTTGTTGTATCCCATCTTCCACCACAAGGCCACACAAAGGCTCCACTATCAGTAGCTTTCTGTGACACAGATTTCTGCTGACTATGTTCCAGTAATGCATGTCCACAACTAGTGGAGGATAATAAAAGTTAACAGTTCCCAGAGAAGAATATAGATGGAGACCAGCATAAACAATGCAGGCTTCATTTGATGATTAATTACAAAGAAACCTCTGCAATACACCTACATTGTGGAAGAGTAAAAGAAGGAAGCCAGTCTTGCCTCATTTTTCCAGCCATTTTTATATCCACATTATGCTAATTAAATTAAACCCGCTCGCATTTGTTACTGTGTCAGCTTAACAAAGGCTCATTTGCCTTTCAACCCCTCCTGTCCAGGTCATTCACATTGACAACAGCATCTGCTCCAATCATTCTTTCTTGTCCTTATGAACATCTCCATCACATCTTCATCTTAATGGTGGATAATTTCATTCATCTCTCCTTTTCATTAACAATTAAATCATTGCATCCCATCATTGTCATACTCTTGAACTCTTACGTTCTCCGTCAAGATTTTACCCTGGGCTAATTTTCTCAGTTGTATTATGAACGATCTGTCAAACCGCCCTGGACTGCTTCCATTCATCAGAGAATAGCTCGTCTGTCATCTCCATAACAATGGCAGCTGTTTTTTTTCATAATCACTTCCCATTCATAGCAGGACTTTAATTTTATGTTCTTGAAAGCTCTCCAGTGACCTGTACACACCCATTCCTCCAGGAATCAGACCCGTAACCCACGTCTACTTGTCAGAGATGACTTCAGACTCAGTGTTGGTGGCGTGGAACGCCCCAGCACCACCTGCTGACCTGTTCATTCTGAGCTACAGCTCTGCTGACGGGACCGACACCTCTAAGGTGACACTCGATGGCTCCAAGACGAAGTCAATGGTCCAGGGCCTGCTACCATCCACTCACTACACCGTCAGTCTTATCACTATTCAGGGGGATGTTACTTCTGAGCCCATTACAGCATCGCTCACTACAGGTGAGCTGCTCTATTTACAGGAAAGTGGTTTGAAATAGATTAAAACACAGCGACACGAGCAGTAAAAAACAGGTATGTTGCCATTGGTCGGTTTTATCTGAACACTGATGTGGACTGTTGTCATATGATTGTTTGTTGATCGTAGGGATTACTCACACAGTTGAATTTTGCAATTGTGAATTATTTGTCAAATATTTGGTATACAGGAAATGTAAGGTCAATAAAATATATGAAATACTTCTCTAAATTTGTATTTATTTGATATAATCTCATTTAATACTTTCTTTGTTTTTTTGATGTAATACAGTACCTTTATCTTGCCATTAACTGATACAAAATATCCAAATTATTCTAGTATATTCAGTTGTCACTCAACTGTCACTTGATCCAATGAAACAAACTCTTTGGAATCTCTAAAATGGATGAACAACCACTATTCTATCAGAGGGCAGAGATTTGACACACATTTGGAATGGAATCTATTTTGATCAAGACAAATAATCGAGTTTTAATTTCTAAGTGAGAATTTGAGGCTGCTAATGATTTGTTTTCTAATGAAGGGATGAAGGCTGCAGTGCAAAGTTGTTTATTTTTCCTTTTCATCTCATGCCGAGCACTTCAGAGGATTTTCCTTTTATTATTTCTCTTAACATGAACCGTTTTCTCTTTACAATTCCTCCATACTTCTTTAGTAAGAATCTCTTTCTTAAAGGCCTACTGCAGTGATCCCTCCTTAACCCCATAAACATATCTGGTATTTCCCAACTAAATGACTCAACTTCATTTGAATTGAGTCAATGTTAAAAGGCACTCAAAAGTATTTAAACAAAAATAAAATAAATGGGTTGAGAATCTGTTTTTAAAACCTTTGAGACAGATCAAGTGTGCACAAGAAAAAAGGATAGAATCTTTCCTATTCTGTAGAAAGATATAAAGAAAGTAAGATCATCATTCAGAGACAAGACAGAAGATAAATTTAGACAAACAGATCAGACAAATTGAGCAAATTCAAGCATCAAGCAAAACAGATTTGCCAGTAACACTGATTACAGTGCCACTTGCCAGTTTTCAATAATACTTTAACAGCATGGAGATGTATCTCCTGTTCTCTCTTTAAATTCACCCACACGCAAGAAGCAGATTTTCAAGGGTGAAATTTAACAGGGATTTGGAGACAGATGTACAGAATCTCTCTCACCTGCCTTTATGCTGTTGTAATTTTGGTGCACTGCTTTGATGTCATGCGTTTGAATATAAGTGTTGATCAGACACTGCACTTTGGCTTCATTTTCATAATTTGCTGTTAGCCTTACATGTGATCCAGTTGTCCCGTTTAATATGTGTTGCTTTCCTCTACATTTTGGCCACGGTTGTAATGGGCACTCTGGCTTATCAGGCTCTGAGAGTCACTCTGCCACACTGGTGGGTTCAAACTGTGCTTTGATGTAAGCTTACACAGCACAAATGTGGCTGTGGTTTGCCGAGGGGACATACTGAATGGCATTATATCTCAGGCAGAACTGTTATCACATTCACACCCTTGATTAGAACAATTCTACCATTGTTCTTAGGCACCACAATTTTACTGTTAATCTTGATAGCGGGCGTACATAACTAATATTCTCAATGCTATTATATTTCATACCAACAGAGAACCAACAAAAAACTAACAGATATAAATGTGAGTTCATACCATCAGTCAGTTCTAAGTAAGATGGAGAGCTGTGCTGATAGTTCAGAGATGCATTTACTCATTGTTCACAGATATAAAAAGAAGTGATTTCTTAATCTCCTCTTTTCTTTCTTTTACTTCATTTGTCAATACCTCTCTATTATTGTTTTCTGCTTGCTCAATATTTGCCGGAAGTTATTTTCACTATAACCTTTTTCAAGGCAGCTCAATAGTCTCAAGAGACAGAAGTACGTTGTCAGTAGGGGGTTGCCTCCGTGTAAACTCTGCTCATCCTCAATATTAATGCGGCTCATTGAATTAATTGAGTCAGAAACTCTCCCGGAGACCGTTGTGAAGAGATTGGCTTTTTAATATGAAATGGCATTAAATATGCATGGGCTTGCACAGACCCAATAAGAGATCTGCCTCTGAAAGTGTCCCGAAGAGGGGAATAAATACTGACTGAACAAGGATTGGTGATATTGTGTTCTTCAAACGGCACTGTTTTAATAAATGACTTGCTTTGTGATTCTGCATACAATGTGCTCCTGTTTTAACTCTGGGCCAAATGAATGACAACTTTGAAAGCAAATATTTTTCCCATCTTGCACATTGCTAACAGCTATGACCACACGCTAATGCCTTCTCACTCCTCAACGTTTTTATAGGCATGGATCCACCAAAAGAAATGACAGTGTCGGATGTGACCGAAGATGGAGTGACCATCTCTTGGATCACACCACTGGCTCCATTTGAATACTATAAGCTTTCATACCAATCCGCAAGAGGTAGGTAACATAACACCACAGTTCAGACTCTAATGTGTGTATTGGTTCCATTTAAAAAATATATGACATTCATTAAAATAACATACACAAAGCACACTGTTTTCTTGTTGCAGTTAAATAAGCCTATTATTTGCTTTCTTATGCAAGGAACATTTTGTGTAGAGCATGTTGTTACACTCTGTGTTATACCTAATTAATCATGGTATTTTTATCTGTAAGCTTCAAATGAATTTTAAATGAAAGTAATATACTGGTCAGCTATTCGCCCCTTAAAGCAAAACGCATAACAGTAAGCCTCATGGCATGCTCAGCATAAAATGTAAGATCTGCTCTGTGCGGTGTCTCCTGCAGGTCGAGTGGACAGTGTGATGATCGACAGTGATGTGACAAACTACACTTTGTCCAGCCTGTTTCCTGCCACAGAGTATGAGATCAGTCTCAACGCTGTCCGGGGTAGTCAAGAGAGCAAAGTTGTCAGCACGTCTGTCTTCACAGGTAGGAAATAATGCCAAAAAGTCTTATGACTGCGTGCACCAGAGTGATACAAACATGGATTGGTGCTTAATTTCACTTTGTCGTCTCGGTTTGACATTTTGTTCATGACGGTCAATAAGCCACAACTCAATAATGAGAGATTCATTTTCTTACCCATTCAATAACTTAATTCATTTAGATAAACATATACAATTCTGATGGTCCTTTATTTTTTATAAAAATTTTCAGTAAAAATATCACTAATGCTTTGTTTTTCTTTTAGTGAGTAGAACTAACAACACTTCCTTCTTGTTTTAGAGGTTGATTATGCAAATCTTCTTCTGTTGCTGGTTATAGTTTGCAGCTACACCAGTGTAACTAATTAATTAAAGAGGATATCTGATTAAAATTAATTGCATTTCTAACTTCACACATTTTGGTTGCACCAGTGATTAAATAAACCTTTTCTTTAGATTATTTTAAATTGATATTTAAGTGGCCTGTTAAAAAAATCCGGACTAGACCTCAGTGTTGCTTCCTATAACTTTGTTCATAGTACGTTTTTTTTTCTCTAAAAAGTAGGTTTACCAAGAAACCTGAGGGATATCATCAAATGAAATATCTACTCAAATAACTGAATAAATAAAAAACACAAAAAAAATTGGCAGTAAATTTGCTGTCACAGGGGGTTTCGCTGAGAGACGAGACCTTTCCCTCTGCTCGACCTTTTAAACCAATTATTCCACACAGAACAAAAACACCTTCACATTTTGGAGACTGTATCTGTTGAATTGAACAATAGACTCTCATACACACCTGCACAAACACACCACTTTAAATCTGAAGGTATAGGTGATATTGTAGGAGGTTCATCTATACTGCAGCACCACTGCCCTCACTATGACTCTGTAAATGGTGACCCCTCCTTTCTCTGTATCACCAGCTCCCATACTCACCGTTTTATCCAATTGACTCGTTTTGGTTCTTTCAGTCCGCATTTCTATTTTTTCAGTTTCCTTTAAGAGTGTTTTTCTTCTCTGTTTGTTGTATGCCTTATTATTATTATTTTTTAAAGGCCTTCATTATACTTTATGTCTTAAGGTTGCAGGTAGATTTCAGGTTCCTGAGATCTGAGGCTTTACCTTTAAATGTCATGGATTTGGAAAATTGAAAAAAAAAGCTCTTATTTCTCTCTCTCTCTCGCTCTCTCTCGTTTTCTCTCTTACATACACACATGTGGAAACACTATTCTTCAACGCAAAAGAATGACAGTAGCCTAAGGTTAACACATTAAGTTCTGTATGCATAATCTGCTGTAGATTTTTTCCGAAATGAAAAGTCAGAGCTAATAGTACTGCAGAACAACTGTTAGCATGCCACCGACACCCGATTCACTTGGATCCTCCAGGTTGAAGAATCCGGTATCTGTCAAGAATGAACTAAAAGGGTAGTTTTATCTTGCTTCCCCCACTTCTATGCTTTATTATAAGCTCCTTCCTCCAACAAGCCTAGTGTACTTACAATGACCTGAGCCATTAGGGCTGTAACAGCCCGATAGGAACATAACTAAAAAGTCAAGCTTGTTAGTAATGTAAATAACATTTTCCTCACACAGCACAATGCCAAAACAGGGGAACTTTAAAATAGCTTTAGCCAACAATACATAAACAGGGGATCGGAAGCCTATTCCAACATTGCCTGGCCAAGCCTGTAATGACTTGAGTAACACTGCTGTTGGTACATACTTCACCTTCATAATCAATTACTGCAAGAGAGGCTAAGATAGCAGCATTTTTCATTTTGCCAACACAGCAGGTGCTGTTTATGGAAGATGAATCTGGCAGGGTGAATACTAAATGAACTATGTTAAGCTCTGTTTAAGGGCTAATGACTGAGCTCATTAGCAAGGTGTCAGGGACCCTCTCTCTACCCAAAATAGAAGATTTTGTAAAGCCCCATTTTTAAAGGTAATAAGAAATTAGGAGGGTATGTATTTGTAACACTGGTCTATTTAAAAAAAACTAATAGTCATTTCTAGCAGACGCACAGACACAGAATTTATTGTGACACTGGACTTTAAAAGCTGTTAATGTTGGAGCGATAATTATTTTCTGTTTATCTTCGGGCTCAACTGCCAAATGACACCAAACCAAGAAAACATCTTCAGAGACCAATTTGAGATTGCTTATAACAAGGCATTTTACCTGCACATGGAGAATATTCACCATGCAAAGATTAACTCGGCAACATGCAGCACAACCACAAAGGCTGTAGCAGATGAACTGTCTGTAAACGTGCTACTTATGTCCTAGTGCAGGTATAGAACCAGACTGTGTAGCTCTGGGATTCAACACACAGTCACTTTCTTCTGCTTTAGCAAGGAAATGACAAGGGATGACACAAAACCTAGTGTCCAACTTGCTGAGCTGTCTGCTGCCCTTCGGCCTGTCGCATAGCCACAGTCAGAGTTCAGAGCAAGCTGGCTTCATGGTTAAACAATAAAAGCTGGGTGGAATTTCCTTGTTCAGCAAAGACAGCCTGAAAGGCTTTTTTTGTGTGTGTTTGTTTCTGGTGGATGATAAATTCAAACGCAAACTAAAATTAAGTGAAAATTGTTGCTGTTTTTGAAGCACCAGATGTTGAGCCTCTAGAATTTTATCACCACAACATATGGGTATTATCGTCAGTTGTTATTCTTAAAAATAAAGTTGTATAACAGAAAAAAACAACAAAAAGAATAAAAACAAATAGCAACAGGTAGTAATGTCATTGCAGAAGAAAGTATTTTCCATTGTTGAAATGTTTGTTGTCTACCTGTGAAACTCCTGGTAGCTCCATCCTCCTTTGTCCAGCATTCAGATGGAGCCGAGGTTTATTAGCTGCACCCGCAAATGTCAGTGTAGCTCAGGTGAAGGTTCACTCACTCAGACTGCAGAGTCTTTTCAACACACCACATAATTCCAAGAGAACTGTGTACAAAAGCTATTTTGTCCACAAAAATGTAAATATGCTGTTTTTTAAAATTGTTTTTCCTCAGCTGTGATTGTCAGCTCAAACAATGTTTATTCATGAATGGACCAGCACAACGAAGTCACCATTATTATTCCACATCTGATTATCTAATAATAATTATGTAAATCAGCTATGTGTATTATAATGATAATATAAGTCTAACAAATTGTTTTGTGTTCCATATGCAAATGGAATATAAATGTAGTTAAGTAGACTTTACAAAGAGAAAGAAATTTGTGCATTTGTTTTTAGTTGTGTGGTTTTATTATTATTGTTGTTATTCCCTGGAGCTTATAGTAAACAAAATAATTCTTACCAAAGAAATAAACATGCAGAAAATGAGCTTTATGTTGGGGGTATGTGAAATACCATAAAGGCATTGACACAACTGACCATTGCTACAAAACAAATTATATTTCACTGTTGTTTTTTAGAAATGTTTCTACCTGAAAGAAAATCTAAAACAGTACTCTGCTTTTAGTGAAAATAAGAAAAAGTATACTTAGTCTGTGTCCGACCAGTGCAATCAGGAGATGGATAGTGATTATTGGATTATCACAGCCTCTGCTGAAGGAGGATGAAGGACTTATGTATTTTTATTCTGCTTTTGCTCATGTATACCACATCATGTCATACCAGTTAAATCCACTGGGAAAACTCCCATCAATTTCACTTAAACCTTTCTGCAATTAAAGTAATGATTTTAACCAGGTTTGCTCACCTTTTGCAACAATAAGTAAATGCATTAAATCACTTCTGGGCTAATGAGCTTTTTTAACTTGATGAGGGCATGGCATTATTAATTACCTGATCTGCACAGAAGTATGGATCTTTCATACACCGCACTGTGTTCTGCTGCCATGCGGGCTGCCGTGCCAAAATAACATGCCTGAGTAGAAATTGAGGTTGAAACACTGAGGTTAAAGGTATAATTAGATTCAAACTCAATTTTGGCATATCCAGCAGTCTGAAAGTGAAATTAGAAAAGGGTGGTGGGGAGGGCTGTGTCTTGGCTGAGGAGATGTGAGGTGGACCATTCTGTAGCACACTTGGCTGCATAATCTTTCTGACCACAGGTAAAATTATGCAGACAAAGACCAAGATGGCAAAAAGAGACACAGTTAATCAGTTTGAATAGAAACAACTGCATATTTAGATTAATCTGTTTATAGCTCAGATTAATAACCGTTTGTTTCTTTTTTGGAAAATGGTCACTGATTTGTTATATAAATGTGATGTATAAGGCTGAAAATAATTCTGTAAAATTATACAATGACATTTAGCTAACATGAAACTATTTCAATTGTTCAGCTATTCAGCTACCCTTTTTCCACTCGTATGAAGAGTTGCAGTCTTTAATTACCATGACCTTACATAAAGCAATCACTAAAACATATATATATATATATAGCTATGTGTACTGCAATTAAGTTCTGCAATCTGTTTAATCTTGAGCTCTCAAATCTGAGATGATCTCAAGTTCTAGAGTTAAAAAGAAAAGACAAAAAAGAGAGAGAGAGATTTATTTAACAGATTTACCCAGTACACTGACATTATGTTTTTGTTCTATTCTATTCATAGCGATGGATATGCCTGCTGAGCTGACAGCCCTTAACATCACCCCACAAGGAGCCTTGTTAAGATGGAATCCTCCTCTGTCCAATGTGGACAACTATGTTCTTACCGTCACACACAACCAGGGTGAGTTGTCACTAATTTATGCTTGTTAGACCAAAATCATTAGCCAAGCTGATCATTTATAATATTTTGTAGGGGTGGAAAAGTTCCCACTGCTTTACCATATGCTATTGTTTTAGCATTTTCTTATCTTTGAAATTATGACAGTAATTAAGGCCTTAATTTATCTGTGTCTTACTTGCCCATATTTATGGTAGAAAAAAAAACCCACATCACAGCATTAAGTGACAGGTAGTATTATAGTTTTCCCATAGTCAGGTAAGATTACCCTCCAAGGCATATCATTGGCAAAAACAATATAGAAAATTACTCAGTAAAGTACTTTCGATGCAGCCTTCAATGTTGATAGCCACATCCAGATTGGTAAGATAGAGGGAGGTAGCCTATAATTTGGACAAACCAGCTGCATAAACAACTTAAAAAGAAAGCAGGCTATGTCTTTAAGTGGAACTTTAAAATCACTCAGTGCTGGAATTCATTCACTCTGCCAGCCACATCTTCCTTTTATGTGGCCTTATAAAAAGTGCTCTGATTCAGAATTTAGTTGTTTTAATTGCATTGTGAATTGATAAGAATGAATTGGGCTGAAAATTCCTTTATTTTGTGTAAACTTACACCGGCACTGTAATATTTTTCTGTTTTCTTTTTCATTTGGCTGCACATGTACATATATAGATTTATTTAGACTGGTGGTGAAGCAGGACAAAACAAGATAAGGGGTGAATTACTATTACTAAATCCATATTGGACACTTATTTACAAAGCAGAGCCAAGTGCATGTAAGTTCATGACAAATTCTTTTGGAATGTTCACCAAAAAAATCAATACAGAAATTGTCAGAGAATATTGTACAGCAGCATTAAATAGATTTATATTGGGAAACCTGATTTTATGAAATCCAAGCTGTCATGGCTCATCTGACCTCATATGTCACTTGGTGGTGTATGATGGAATAGGAATGATGTCCCAAACATATGTCACTGTCAGTGTGAAGTTCTAACGCATGTGTAGTGCAGAGTCTGTGGACATGAAGCAATTTAAACTCCAATATTATTTTCATACTTGTGGGGGGGGGGGGGGGGGGGTTGTTCTTACTGTGAGTGTATGCGCTTTTCATCAAACTCGCAAAGCACAGAAGGTTTGGTCTGTGATCCACTGGACTCTTTATTAACTTTTTACTATATTTGTATTGATTTTATGCTCTTGTTAGGCTGGTTTCTTATAGTCATAATCCTATGAGTTCAGAGACTAGTGCAAATTTAGGATTGGTTACGAAATTGTCTTTCATCTGAAATCACCTAAAACAAAAGTGCTCGTCACAGCATAAACTTGGAATAAGTTAAATCAGCTCATTGTGGAGGAGCACTTTTTTACAGTTACAGAGCACTCTTTTTTTGGCAGGGTTGTCCCCCCAAAGCACGTTTCTCTAGAAGCAGTATGAGTGTCAAGATTCACTGAATTGTAAGATTACCCCAAAGGTTGTCCAGCAGTGAAGACAAAAGATTTGAATCTGCTCATTCCCCATGACTGTGCATTTTTTAAATAATGCAGAGCAATCTCTTTATACAAAATTCTAAAAAAAAAAAGGCGCTTTTACAAATGTGTGCTGAATGTGAAGTCATCTTCTATCTTTTTTTTGTTTTGCTTTCTAGTCACAGCTGATACTTTCCTGGTAGAAGGGAACAAGCAAGAGCACCAGTTGTCAAACCTGAAGCCGAGCACCACTTACTCTGTAGCCCTCTATGCCACCAAAGGACCCCTCACCAGTGGCACTGTCATCACCAACCTCCAAACACGTACGTATGCATCTGGAATTCAGATGTTCACGCTGCGCACTGGAATTCCATGGGTGCATTTTAAATTTACCGCAAATGCCATATGTTCCTTTCAAAGTTTGTTACCGAGAGCATCTACTTCAACTGCTACAGAAGCAATGCAGTCGATCTTTCCCACAGGTTTGATAAAAGATGATAAACAAAAACACCTAGAACTGAACCAGTTTGTGCATCACATTACATTACAACTTCTCAACCTGGCAATGAAATCTATGGATGAATAAGAAAATGTGTATTCTGAGGTGGGCAAATGGCAAAAAAAGACACTGAGATCGAATAGACACAGTAATTTTAAAAATGCCTTGTATTTGTTGATATGTCTTCTTCTCTGATCATTTGTACTCAGACATCAAAATGCTTTGTCTTGTCATTTTTTTTGTCATTTTTTAATCTCTCAGTGGCAGCCATTGGAATGAAGAGGAAAATATAAAAGTAGGAAGGCTGGCACACCGCAATAAAAAGGGACTTTACAGACAGGAGATCAATAACACCGTCTGTTCATAGATGTATGGTTTAGATTCTGTTTGCAATCCAACAAGTTTTAGCAGAATTAAAGAACAACTATAGCATAATGTTTTACAGTCCGGGTGGTACTTGCAGACGTAGCAGGAATCCTTGTCTGTATGCATTACATCCTTATAGGAACAATGAGCATACAAGCACATCAAAACATAATTAAGTTAGACAAAACACACAAAAAGAGCACAAGAAAATAAAATAAATGCTGCTCTGAAGCGATAAAGAAAATAAATGATCTCAATCTGCATGAACACAAACAACCTCATCAGTTTTCATTTTTCTCCAGTCTGTAGCTCATACTCTGATTAGTATTTTGTTACAGCCAACTTATAAGGGTGCATTCTTAAAAAGCTTATCCAGCATAAATGTGCACATACTGCAATTTATGGTTGTTCCATGCATCAACCTTCCTTCCTCAAACTTTTCTCTTGCCTTCCCAGGACACGTCTATTTCCTCTCACAGTGAAACAAAAATTCCCAGCTATTGATGCTGTGACATGAAAAGTCTGAATTGGCACTGCACATGCAGATAGGAATGAAGCAGAAGCAGGAAATGTGTTTTCTGACCACTTTAGGGGAAATTGATACATGTCTACCACAACTGGCTGCTTCCTCATTTATTTTCTGTCTGTCACTAGAGATATTGGAGCTGTGTTCCCAGAATCCATATGAACAACTCCCAGGTTTTCCCTCAGCTGACCTGGCGTCTTTGTGTTCATAGTTAAAATAGCAAAACATGCCGTCAAAACATAGAACATTCAGCCACAAGAATGATTATTTTTCTCTATATCCTGGGAAAAAGAATGAGCATTCAGAAATAAAAAAAGACAGCTAAAGTCTTTACACAATTATTTCAGTAGTTTGAATTTAAGAATTTCAAGTGCTAAAAAATGTTTTCTTTTCTACAGTCAGAGACATCACTGCTATGAGAACCTGAAAGTCAGAATGCAATTCACCATATACCACAAACTCCTTCATTGTAGCAACCAATGACTGGCATTTCATTAATCCTGTTGGCAGTTCAAATTCAATGATTGTGACATGGTGAGAATACACTGTAATGGGCATTAGACTCTGGCATGCTTCACCAGCTGATGTCACCTTCATCGGCTGCTTTATTGACTGGACAGTTTGGGAAGAGGGAATTGTTCCAGTTGAGCTGAGTTGCTGCTCTGTAAACGTAGCTTTTTCTCCCAAGTTCTTGCTGCAGAAAATAAAAAATAGGATCTGGGAGCAGAGGTGTTTATATTCCTCAGTGAGCACAAGAGCTGCCGGTACTGCCCTGCAGCACAGATGCGCTATTCAATACAGGAAGAAGGACTCTAACAGTTGGAGATTCCCTGCAAATTATTCAAGACATAAGTCAGGATCAATTAATGAGGGGAACTCTAACCATGTCAGTGCTGCGCATTCATATAGCTGCTCATGCATAAAATATGTTTTACGTTTTTGTGCATTTTGTGTGGTGTTAATATTCCTAGATATCCAATAGAAAATATAGTTTAAAAAAAACATTTGATAATAAAAAGGTTAAACCTGGTGTTATTATCAGATAAAAAACACTTTTTTAACCTGGTAAAATACCTAATGAGATCAAGACCTCTTTCATAAGGGTCACCTTGCCTTTTCTTCTATCTATAAGTACTCTTTATGTGTCAACTGGTATGATTAGTATTCACACCACTGTCCTTTATTTATACCAACATACAACCTATGCACAGCCACATTTATATTTACTTGACATAATTAGCTTAAATGTTTTATTTAATAATTAACACATGACATGGACACATGAGTTTTGTAAGTGCTGGTACTTCTTATGTATATACTGTATGTCTGAGCAGATATCCCTGAAAATTTGGCTGGACCAAGAAGTCTGTAAACTTCTAGCCAGTGACTTTTAGATGGTCCTCTGCACTCAGCATAGAGAGTGTGCAGGGCCTTTGGTGTCTTCGCCCTGTCAGTTTCGTTTTTTGGAAGTGTTGGGTATCTTTGTAGCCTCCCAAGTTGTCTTAGCCACACCTAAGAATAGTTTTGTTGTCTGGCCTCCATGCCTTAAGAGTTCAACACAGAGTAAGACAGCTTGACTTGCAAAAGGCTGATATTTAAGCTCTAAGAATGGAAAATAAGGGATTTTGCTGCGGGTGTTGCTATAAGCCTGTTGGCTACAGTGCTGGCTCTTTTTATGTCAGATGTGTCCGAGCCTGCTTGTTGTGTATTGGAATGGTTTTAAAGCAGCACAGATCCTTACTACAGGCAGCTACATAGAATTCTCAATAGTCATTGCTTACCAGGTGTAGAATGCTAATGTTTTCGAACCATAATCTCAATTTCTATAGTGATGCCTATGGTTTTGTATTCTTAAAAGAAACTTAAATTATCATAAACATTTTTTTTTATGCCCACAAATTGAAAAAATAAATTTCAATTGTGCAAATTGTTTGTAGGTTGTTTGGCAATAATCATTGGAATTATTTTTAAAACAGATCTGAACAATGGGAACATGTTGAACAGTAATCTGAAAACTATCCAACATCTCTGCAGGAAAAAAAACACATTTTAGTCATTTTGAGATGTTTTACTTTTGTCAGGATTCTTCAATGTATGTCTTTTTAGTAATTATTAATATTTTACTGCAGATTTTATTATATATAGTATTCTTTCAGATTCCATGTATATGTTTTGAAGTATCATAAGGAGTAAAAAGTCTTGTATATACATGACATCAGGTTAATTTGGGCTATTTTAAATGAACAGAGGCAGTGGGTGGAACTGTTATTTGTTGTGATGCACCAGTGACCCGTCCAGACTGTGCCTTGTGTCTACCCCACTAAATTCTTTAAAAATTGGAATTTACGTTCAACAAATATGTTTATTTTCCTCGCCTCTGATTATTTCTGAGTAGCAATGGGATACAATGCTATTGATTTTAAGGAGACATTAATCATGTCTGTGTAAATATCCAGTTTGACTTTAAAGATGCTAATGGTCTTTATCTGACTATCATACTTCCATCAGGGAGACTCATGCACACAGAATTTGGTGACATTTGATTTAACACCAGAAAAATAAAAGAGCGAAAAAATGATCTAATCCATCAGACAGGCAAATAGGCTTGGAGATATCACCTTTGAAATAGATAGCTCTCTCCATCATGTCTTGTTGCGATTTTTTTAATAGCCCTTCCTATCTGCTGCCTCATAAAAATGCATGTATTTTTAATTTCAGAATTTTCTATTTGTGTTAATGATTCATTATGTGCAGCCAAAATTATTAATCTATGTTCTGTTGTCCACACCTCCCCGTAAGAAAGAGTCAGAGCTGCCTGGAATTGTATTTTACTTGCTCAACGGCTCTCTTTACTGAATCTTAATTGGAAGAACGCATAAAAGAGGGAAAGACAGGGTGACAGACTTAACTAGAGAACCAGGAGAAAGGAAGAAAAAAGATGGCTGTTTCTATGTAGAAATAATCCAACATCATTGTTCATCCAGACAAAAGGATGGCAAGAACCAAATATAATCTGTATTCAGTCTGGCACATTTAGTGGAAGCCTGTTGGATAAGAAGGAAAGGAGAAAGAGAGACATACAAGTGAAAGAGAGTGGAGAAGTGGAAGACCCTATGTTGATGTGAAACACAAACATGCACAGGATGCAGATGGAGATGGAAACAATTTTAGATTGAAGGGGTTGAAAGTGTCGCTGTAGACTTTCATACAAGATTTAGAGTATATTCTAAAAATTTGCAAGTGAACGCCTCTGAAACAGTTTTGTTTCCTCTTCCTCAGTCGATCTCCCCCATGACACAGACTGGATCAGTCTTTCACTGTGAAGGAAGGCACCCTGCTTTTTTCAATAGATTATCAATGCGAATACACACCGATAATTACAGAGCTGCCATTGATCACTGCATAACTGTACACTCCTAAGGATTTAACTGGCCTGAATGTGGCCCGTCACTGCTGCCATTTTAGCAATTTAAGTATATGATAGATGATAGATGTGGACTACTATTAACCTACAGCCTTTCTAGTCCTATCTATATATATATATTCAACCAATGTAGGAAATCAGTGCAGGGGTTTGTCATGAAGTTCATATCTTCATTACATGTCCTCACAGTGTCTTTGAGTTGCACACCACAAAGTGCAAAACTTTCAGTTATTTCATTGCCCCTGCCTCCCCCATAGTTTGCCATGTTGGATGACTGGCTGATGGTGTATGCCACATTCATGATGTAACTCCAGGAAACAGATTTTATTAAATAGAGGGTCATCTCTTTTCTATCATGCACCAAAATGAGTTTACAATGTGTCAATGCGTTCGCTGCCATTTCAGTAATTGTAATGGTAAATGAAAAAAGGCTGATGTAAGGTGGTGAAATTGAGGTGAGTCTTCTCTTAATGTGGTTTAACGATCACCAAAGCTGCAATGATCACGTCTTTTTCAAAGCTGTGATGGGACCAAGAATGTAGTTGCATGACGTGATGTTGTGCATCTGTGGGTGGGCTTGCTGATCAAGAGCCTGAACACTTCTGAAGCTGTGATATGTCTCTCACTAAAGATGATAAAAAATCACCTCACAAGTCCTATGGGGATTTAGGATTACTCATGAAAGGATTTTGCCCATGAAAATACTGCAGCGTCTGCATGAAGCATCTGCAAGTTTGACATTTTTATCTTTTATTTTTGATTGCTCAGGAAGTAATGATGATCACTACTTCCAAAATAACCTTTATTTAAGTATTAATGTTTTTTTAATTGATTTTGTTGCTCATAATAATGCTTTAAGAATTAAGTCTTCAGGGTTGTCCAAGAAATATATTCATTTATTTATTTAATGTGGAAAACATAAAAATATCTCTATACTGCAGGACATGTCCTGTCTTGTCCTTGACCTGTGCATACGTATTTGTATGTGGTGACTTCATAATAGTTAACCAAAGTGGGACACATGTAATGGTGAGTCACATTATCTAACTACTCTTGCAGATCAGCAGCACCAGTGGTTTAAGCAACCAAAAGTGTTCATTATGTAATTTCTTAAAGAGGGCTTTCAGAGGCACTGTGAAGAGGAATGATTATAACTAAACACTTACCACTTTCAGCCTATTCAATCTTAGCCTTTGAGGCTTTAATAAAGGGATTGATGACTGCCGCTTGGTTCATCTGCTGCTCGGGTTCCCGAGACGAAATAAAACCTGATTTGGTAGCACTGCACTGCAAATTGAACAAATTGGGTCTGTCTTTTGAACCAACTTCTTTGATTGTAAAACATTTTCTACACTCTTTTGGCCGTAACCTTTTAGCCATGGATGCACCGGTGAATCTGACAGCCAGCGACGTGAACCATCGTAGCGCCCTCATCTCCTGGCAACCACCAATCGCAGAAATCGACAACTACATGCTTACTTACAAGTCATCTGATGGCAGTCGTAAAGTAAGTTACTCACCTACTCTGGGATCTCCATGCCAGCTCCGATTTCAAATGTGCTTTTATCACATGAATGTGTCTTTACATCTTCATGCAAATTTACTCTCTCTATGTCTGGTGTTTCTGAGACTCGAACATTTGAATGACATTTGAAAATATAGATCCTACTCTTCAGATGTTGAATAACATGTTGAAACCCCATCATTGTAAATGTAATAAGGACTCAACTTCTCAATTGTTGCACTTTATTCAATGATCACCAGGACAAAGTGTGAATGAACACAGCTTTGATGTTCTATCACTCTCAGGTTCAGATTTTTGTCCCCCAGTCATGCAATCATTTTGTGTTTATCACAGTCACTTTAAGGGGACACACAATCACAGATACACACAGGGGAGTCACACAGTGAAATTGCCTGTCCAATAGAGGTATTACCTTAATGCGCCTCTGTTTGTTTTGATTTAGTGCTTTCATGTTGCTGAGTTATGGAAATAAAGCCCATTAGTAAAATTTGTGCCGTCAAAATGTACACACGCTGCTGATGGAGCGATAGTCCTCCTTTCACACATTAACTTTGTGACCTTGTTGAGAGTGGCACTGCTTGTGCAGTTGACCATCAGGTGTCACTCATGCACAAAAAATGCAACAGTAGCTCTTCAGGTGATCCCTTATATTCAAATTTCCAAAGCAAACAGACGTGTTTCACGGTTTTACTGTTAGCTGGAATTTTTGCTATTTTGTCCCATTATCATGTGTTTTTTTGTATTGCAAACTTTTTTTCAGAAGAAATTCTTAACCCTTTAATGTTTTACAATGTTTAATTCAAATGACAGTTTATCTGTGTCAATTAAATATATCTTATATATGTATATGATATATAGTACACACTTAGGATGAGAAAAATACATTTTGGTGCTTTTACTTCTTTGCTTATTTTGTTGTAACTGCATAGCCATGTCTGCACAGATAAAACCATCATATTTAGTTGTTTTCCACCACATTTCCACGATTACTAAACATTATTACCATAAATGCTGACAGACAGAAATCCACCTCAACTTTGCCATTTACACCTTCTCATTGCATTTGAATTCACAACCACGCAAATATTCACTGCAGAGAAGAACAGCTTTTGATATAATGTGCTGATAAAGAATTGATCCACACTCGTCTTCAGCTACATTTCTGAGGACTGTGACACGTTGCTGATATGAAACAGATGGGCTGCGGTTTACTTGAGAGATGTTTCTTTAACTTTGGATACTTTTTGAATTAGACATTGGCTGCTGAGTGCTCGGTAAAATAATGACATGTCATTGAGTTTCTCACATATTTGATGTTGATTGATGACAGCTGCTAAGGCCTGCTGCTACTAGGTGCTTTAACTAGAAGTCAGTGTCAGTGCCAACTCCAGATGAAAAGCTGCCACCTGAATATTCTGGACACCGTTTCTTGAGAAAATAAGATGGAACTGATGGAAGACAGATTGGTTTCAGTTAGAGAAAACTGTCTGCATTTACGGCTTAGCTGTCAGCTTCATTTTAGCTAATCGCAATCTGATAATGTAGCTGTCCCTAGAACGGGTGTTTGGTTCTCCCCAGGCTGCCTGAACCCGGAGGCTGCCTTGCCTGAATAAATATCTTAGCTCTTATCTGCCCACATAGTGATGGTGAGCCTCAACCTGTTTAGCTATCCTCTTCTGCAGCTGTGCTAATGGATTTCTATAGATTACAGCAATAGCTGTGAGACTAATTTCTTATCTGATCATTGTTTACAAAGGAGATTGTGAATGCATACATCAGTGTTTGTCATGGCTTGGCATGAAATGATGAAAGTCTTCCACAAAGACAATAGCACATCTGGGAAAAATCTGATCACTTAACCAGGTAAACATAATCAATGGCGGGGCAATGAGTGGATGAACAACTATTTCTCAGCGTTGTCACTACAAAGCTATTTTTGCAATAAAAATAATGTATTGACCCTGAAAACCCAATGGGAGAATTTCAGATCCTCTGAGACAAATAGACACCATTTACCAGCTGCTCCCATGCATAATTCACACAGATACATTGCCCAAGACTGTCATTTTTTTCCTTTTTTCCAAACTGGCTGAATGTTTCATTCTTTCTTGTTAATATTTAATGTGTATCCAGGCTAATATGTCTCACACTAACTTACAGTTATAAACACTTACGCAAACAAGTTTTTACTCTTTGAGTAAGCTTAGTTTTACGTAGTTTTTACTTCACAACTATAGAGCTGATGTCACAGAAGTACTCTTGGAATTAGTCAAACATCCTGATTCCATTTTAAAATATTTTAAATCAACTGTGAAGCTATGACTTCTCCACTTCCTCCACAAATGCAGAGACACTTGTGTCCTGACTGCGTTGCACTTTTCACAAGTAAAAATACAAAACAGCTCTACAACTCAAAATATTTGAATGGATGTCCCTTTCCCATTTCCTAAAACTACATTGTACCAATTTGTTTGACCATGATGAAATGATCCCAACTGCAAAAAACAACTGTTATGAGTTCCTTAGATAATATAGCTTGAAAATATTATCTTTCTTATTATTGTGCATATTTTTGTAAAGCTGGTTTGCTCAGTTCAGTGTTTTTCCAGAGTGAATGTGTTTCTGTGCCTGCATTAGGAGCTGATCCTCGATGCAGAAGACACATGGATTCGGTTGGAAGGATTGGCTGAGTCTACAGAGTACACTGTCAAGCTCCAGGCTGCAAGAGGACTTGATACCAGCGCTGTGGTTTCCACCACTTTTACCACAGGTACAGGATTCACTCATGATGTGTTTTAACTGGGCAAATCTTCTTGGCACCAGAGATTTTCCACAGCATTACACATCACTGTCTTAAAACGATGGGGCATTAATATTAGTTCCCAAAGTCAGACATGATTTTCTTCTCTCTACCCTGTAGTGTGGTAAAAGGCACTCTCCATTTGGCTGCACCTGCAGGGTAGCCATCCTGATCTGATCAATGTGCTCTTATTTCTGAAGTGCTTTGAATGTAAATTATGTTAGTTTTAAAAAATATATTTAAAAAAGAAAATGTAAGGTTTATGTAATATTTATGCCTACATGGTGAGAGGGCAGTTTACAATATCAATGCCTTTCTTATGTTTTCTGTCTTGTTGACTGCTGTTCCCCACCTAGTCACAGACATTTTCTGCAGACAGATGAGAAACATTATATTTGAGTGTCTTTCACTGTAAAGTAGTTGCACGTGACATAGTAATGTTTAGTCAGTCTTAAACCCATCAGATAACTACTAGATCCACTGTATTTGCAGTAAAGCTGAAATATTTCCCTTCTAAATTAAAGCAATATTTTTAGTGTATGCACATGTCCTGCACTCAACTCTTAACTTCTTAAAAGTAGAGCCCCTGACCTTCAGTTCATTTCCAGGGAGTCGTCTGTTTGCAACGCCTCAGAACTGTGCGCAGCATCTGCTGAACGGGGAGACTCTGAGCGGCGTCTACACCATATACATCAACAGGGACCCCAGCCAAGGTGTGCAGGTGTACTGTGACATGACCACAGATGAAGGAGGCTGGATTGTAAGTCACTGGGAAGATAACACTTAGTTTTCATAGTACTCTGTCTAATGAGGAAACAATGACAGGAGACGAGTGACAGAAAAATCATTGTCAATTTTCGCTAGAACTTTGCATGCTGCAAAAAGAATTTCCGTATGTTTATTTTTAGCCAGTAATATATTTTTTCCGCTGTTGTCAATCACCATAATGATGTCCAGGTGTTCCAGCGTCGTCAGAATGGGCTGACAGATTTCTCCAGGAAGTGGAGTGACTATCGAGTTGGATTTGGAAACTTAGAAGATGAGTTCTGGCTTGGTAAGTTTTTTTCTTCTCTGTCTATTTAAGATAATGAGTGTGATGGAAGAAAAAAAACTGAGGAAAGTATATTGTTTCTTTAAAAAAATTTTTTTTTTGTTAGGTTGCAGCCATCTGCCTCACCAGCTATGCTTTTAAATACAATTCATCAGCATTATTTGACCTCTTATCAAATGTTACCCGTTATCTACTAGGGTTTTTAAGGCAGCATCAACCTCTCTTGTTTCATACATTCTCTCCCAATTTTTTAAAAATCTGCATTGCGTGCAGTCGCTCAAATTTCACTAATTTTTACTTTTGTAAAAGTAAGTTCAGTTGAGACACAAATTCTTTTTGAAAAAGGAAATACGGCCTCAATGTTTTTATGTGGTTTTGTGCCAGTGATAAAATTTCTCACTTTCCATTTAGGATTCTATGACATTCTCTTTTTTGTGTGGTGGGTGTTCATAGCATCTTTCAGTACTTGATCTCATCTGTTTCATTATTGGTCTCTGAAAGCTCATCTCTTTCTGAGATGACTTGGTAATAGATTTTTCTGAGACCTAAGTGTCTTTTGATACAGTGCTGTGGATTTTCCTCAGTCATTTTTGTTCATTAGAAAACCTGCCAAGTTCTATTGCTACAAAGGATCTTTACTATCATTGTTATTATAAATTCATATAAATTCATAATAAATAAATGTAAGAGTATATTTAGATATTTTAGTATAATTCCAGTACTTCCACATGCCATTTTATGGCTGACATACGTGGGTGCAATAGTATGAGGCATTTATAGAGTTAATGGAAATGTCTTTGCTTTTTCTGACTGACGCACCTCAAGGCACCATGTAAAAGCTTCGTGGCACAGATTTAGCCCATTTTTCATGGCTATGGGCTGTGTCAGTACATTAATATTTCCAGCACCTTTCATGTGACCTGTTTCCACCACAGCTGCTCAGTCACCCTTAATCTGCCCTTTTCACACAAGAGTGTGTATATAAATATATATATATATGTGTATATATATCTCTGTGTGTGTACTTATACATGTATATGTGTGTGTATACAGATGCTTCATCTCTTGGGTCTCACTTTACTTGTTTACAATATGACTTGCCTCACAGGCTGGACCCATTTCCACACTTCTATCATACTTTTTCTTTTTCTTGTGCAGTTAACTCTGCTTTCAGCACATAAAAGCATCCTAATGTAACCTCAGGGTGCGGACCATCAGGAACTGCCCCACAATTCCAAATGACACACACCATAACAGCACAGAGTGCCTTTGCACACAACAGAAGGCAGAGACAGACGCACAAAATCAACCTGTTACTCTGCGTACCTACTCATACAGGAAATAATTAACATTTTCTACACGAAAGGAATAGTATTCACAATTCTTCTATTATATATAATAGCCACTGTAATTTTTGACAGTTTGAGCCATAATCTGTTACATACATTTAAATAGAAGGTAGACATCTACTATCAAGCTATTATTACTGATTTATTAAGTTATTTACTCATTCATTGTTTAGGTAACATTTAAAATTGGGAATACTGATATTGGATTGCTGTTTAGCTGGATTTCCAGGTTGAACCTTTTGTCCTAATGTTGCCCAAAGAGCTTTGACCAGTCAGTGTTTGATAAAGAAGAAGAATAATTTTTTTTGTTTTTTAGTTATGAGATAATATTGCGATACACCATCTCAGAGTCGTAACCTCTCAGTTGTGGCTGTCCCACGGTACATATATATATATATATATATGTACATAAAAAAGCAGATTAGGCCTCGTGATGACTATTGCTTTGCTGATATCAACTGCATATACATTATTACATATCTGCATTGGAGAAGAATGTGTAGAAAATATCAGCAGAATGGGGAATTAGCTGCAGCTCTCAGAGGGCACCCTAACCTAGTTCATTCATCAGGAAATGCTTTTAGATATTCATTGCTTTGGTCACACATTATCCCGCCCACTGATGCTCCAGGCATTTTTTCTGGCTGCTTTTAACCCCACCATGTCATTTTTTGTTGTAACTTTAATTTAGTTTATTTCAGTCCTTACTTTTTTTTTGTCTACAATCTGGACAATGCATTTGAGATGAGATAAATCTCACCCACATCACAATGCCATAACACGACCAATGATGACCAGTCTACATCCGTGGCGTTTTTACATGGTAATCAGCAGAACATAATAACAATAACAAACAGCAGTTGGCTCACCTTCTAAAGCCCCTCTTCAGGATACATGATTATATTTGATAAATCAGTTTAAGTCGTCAAAATAGTGACATTAGAATGTGTCATCCTTTCAAATATATTTATGCTTATTAAGTTATCCTAGTGATGGTCTCTGTAGCTCGATTACGTATGAGTGTCACCCTGTGATCAAAAGATTAGGTTACTGCCACAGCCCTGGGGGGCCATTGCAGGGAACATTTAGCTAATCACCACTTCTACACACAGTGTAGCAATAAACCACGCAATAGAACAATAAACACTGAGATTAAATCCATTCACAGTGTAAGGAACAGGCATTTAATTGGCAAGCAGTAAAGACAATGGAAATAGAGCTTTTGTTTTTATCAGTTACATCCATGGACAACTGTTTTTCAAGCTGTTTCTCCAAGTCAGTGACCCCCATGCCAGAGGGACGACGAAATAGAAGAGTGCTCACCCAAGTGTGAGCAATCTGTGATCATTATCCCATTCCTAATTGTTTTAATCCTAGCTTATTCTTCTACATCAGAGTGAGAGGAAGACTGGTAATAAAATGTGTTACTATAGGGCAAGAGAGCAGTAGTGTGTCAAAATGAGTTTTCAATTACTGAAATTTAGAGTACAGCAGTGAAGAACTGTGATGGGTGGTAGATTAATTGCTGATAATGCCGTGGTATTATACAATGGGAATTAGAGATAGAGAGTGTTAAACACAATTTTACTATAACAACTGCTTCCCTCCTGTCACACTAAGTGCCTCTGGGTTGTAACGTAGATTAAATCTGTTTCAACTGTCATACTGTATTAGAGCAGACTTAGATTCCCTGTTCTCCACAAGCTCTCCTTCCATCTTCTTAGCAGTGAAGGCTTACGTTTTTTTTGTTTGTTTGTTAGTTTCCTCAAATTATTCCCTGAGTTGGTTCAGAAAAAGTGCACATGTGATGCATCTGCAGGGGCTGAACCAGAAAGCAAGGTTCTTTCCCAAATGAGTGTTTGTTGTAATCTGATAGCGAAGGCAGTTCCAATCGCTCATGTTGGTGTGGGGGCTTATCGGCTGGCGGGGTTCAAACAAGCCTTGTATCTGCTGTCTTTGAGATAGCGAGCAAAGCCATCTATCTCAGAAAGCTGGAACATGTGGTATTTGCAGGAGGGCTGCTGTTTGGCAGTGTCCACCACTCAACTGTGTCAATCATACATACCATCTGACAAAGATGTCTTTCATAGCACTTATCAGGATTCAACCTATTAACCCACAAAGCCGCAGGTGAGAACAAACTGCCACAAAAGAAAATACAGCTCGCTATTTTTCTGACTCTTCTACCAGTGAAACACACTTTTAATTAAAATCTTCAGTTTGCACTCATTTGTCTCTTTATAGCTTAAATGTTCACAATTCCCTCAATGTAATCATTAATCAGTAATTGTTACCCTTTTACTTTGGTTTGGAATGATTCTCAATAGAAAAACATTTCTTTTCCTCATTCATAATGAGAGACTACAGGTGTCGATGGATGGGAAAAGTTCACTTTGCAGATGTGTCGAAGCATCGATTTATTTCAAATCACCATCACCTAAAAGAAAAATGTTGTTTTTTCTGCAGGCCTTGACAACATTCAGAAGATTGCTGCCCAGGGTCGTTATGAGCTGAGGATTGACATGAAGGACGGGCAGGAATCAGTCTTTGCTAATTATGACAAGTTCTCAGTTGGAGATGCAAGAAACCTCTACAAGCTCAGGATAGGAGAGTACAATGGCACAGCTGGTATGTCAGTGAATAAAGGCGTATTATTTGACAGCTTTTGCCCTACAGTGGTTAATTTTATATGAAAACTGTCTCCAAAACCTTCTCTGCCTTTTTTTTCTCCATACCTTCTTTTCCTTCTCCCTTATAAGTCAAACCCCCCACAGAACTCAAGCACATTTTCTAGATTTTCCCATGTATCTCTGTCAACATGACCATATGCCATAATTACCTGTCACCCTGCCATGTTTATAATTATACTTCTGTCTGCCAAAATAAATTAGTTGTGCCTGTATGAGGGCTTCCATCCTCTCTTATTATTTCTGTCCATCCCCCTTCTGTTTCAGTTATGCCACCTATGCCATTTTCTTTGTTACCATGTGCCACAGTTGTCCAGCATATGATGAGATTTAAAGCTTTCCATCTCTTTCTCGTTTTGTTGCAGGTGACTCTCTGAGCTACCACCAGGGGCGGCCATTCTCTACAAAAGACAGAGACAATGACATTGCTGTTACTAACTGTGCCTTGTCTTACAAAGGAGCCTGGTGGTACAAGAACTGCCACCGGGCTAACCTCAACGGCAAATATGGAGAATCCAGACACAGTCAGGTCAGTCCTCTGTGAGAAACACACATTGGTCATGAAGCAAATGTAATGATTATGGTGTGATATTTTAAATTATATGACATTAGTTTAAAAAAACAGGACACCCCAACTTATTATGCACAGCAGTGGATTTAATATACCTCAATTCCCCCGTGGCCCCAAAAGGTCTGTGCTAATTTGATTTGAATATGTACAGCAGTGACAGCTTAACCACAGTGTCAAGTGTCTCAGCCCTCAGGCTTATCCAAGGCCCCGTCTCAAACTGCGTATGTAGACCTTCATTATTCCAGCTGTATGCATAAAATGTTCCTGAAAATTTTTGTTTATTTAGACAAAAGAGAACCTGTGTAGTGTTTGTGTTCAGAACTGAATTAAGGGTAAGAGTGGTAACTTGAAGGACATTCCAAAGCTCAGCCTTTTGTTCTGCTCTTTATCAAGATGACCCTACACTCCCTTCCCTCTTTAACATTCTTCAATGTAGAGGTCTGTCAAAAAACTACTGCTGCTATTCTTTTTAAATGTATCTCTTCCTTTAGAATAGCCTCATGGAAACTATTCTTGATGAGATCTTGGTAAACAGTTTATAGAAAAATTACAGGGCAAGTTTTATCTCTATGGTTTCTTATCCTGTGGTAGGTCTGAAGTTGACTTCTTCCTGTTTTTTAACTTCCAGTTATTCTTTACAGACACTTTTTTTTAGCTACCGGTTCTCTTCAGAACATACTCCATAACGTACAGAGATATGTCAAGTTTAAAATGAATAGGTCTTTGATAAATCAACTTGGTTTGAAGTAGTACTTCGGGCCTGTCAAACTCTGTTGCCTTTGACATTTTTTGTAGATGCAACTAAAGCAATGGGAACAAATCATGTTTCTTTGCATCTGTAGGCACTTTGCTGCCAGATTGGGTACATACACATAGATGCATAGGACAATATTTTCTCTTTCTCACTCAGTGGGGGAATTCCTGTGTGGCAGCAAAGTGACAGGCATATGAATACACACAGATGGAGACTAGAGTAAGAGATAATAAAAAAAAAAATTGAAAACAGAAATAACAAAATAACAACTACACAGTTTTAAATAAAGATGCTTGAAATCTTGACCTAGATGCATGAAATTGCTGGATTACACACAAGACATTTCAGACAGTTTAGGATCAGTGTCTCATGTTTCACAGAAGATCTTTTTTGGTTTGGATGCTAGGTGATTTGGGGTCTTTGTAACGAAAGCTATACACAAGTATAGAAAAGCCAAAAAACAAATATAGCCGTTCTCTTATGGTCTATTAAGTTTCTTAGTGTATCGACAGCTTTTGGTCACTAGAATAATATTGTGGAAGTGCAAAATTGGTTTTTGCATGATTTGAAAATAATAAATATTCTAAAACAATCTGTCTTTCTTTCATTTTTGTTTTGAAGATTTGAAGGATCTTTTGAAATAAATACCCTAATTTCAATGGGTTGGCATTTTAAAAGGGTATTTTAACATTTAAAGAGGTAACATTAAAAGTCACCAAACCTGAAGACCGATTAAAGGTTATACCTTTCAATCTATGCGGATAATTATTAGTAAACTGAAGCACATTCTTCCTAATAGCCTTCTTGGACTCATTACACTCGTTGATCTCATGGAGGAGTTCAAGACACAGCTTGTCTAATTTGAAAAAGAAAATTGTGGACAGGATGCATTTTGGTACAGATTAGTCAGAGACACACTTTCTGAGCATTGAGGGCTTTTGAATAGAATTTGATGTGCCTGTCTTTCGCAGTTTCATGCCTAGAATGTTTCAAGGAGGTCAGTAATGTGTTATGTCAGTCTAAGATCAGGCTGAGACTCAAAGGTCTCAGTGACACCTCTCACACTACTGTGCCGTATATGATGACTTAAGCAGAGAACAAAGATGGACCAATAAACATACATAGAAGGGAGAAACGTTTGTGTAAATGGTGTAAAGCTGCAAATCTGAGGGGATTGATGGTGATGTGGTTTCACAGGGTCACGCTGAGACTATAATTAGATTGCAGTTAAATCAGGAATTCGGTCATTCTACTTCAAGGCCACAAAAATGAATTAGTTTAGCTGAAATCAAACCATATAAGTCTGCGTGTTTCCTCAAATTTTTGTTTTCCCAAAAAGTATGTATATCTGAGCATCTAAAAGTCATACTGTCATTTTTACAGGGTATCAACTGGTACCACTGGAAAGGCCACGAGTTTTCCATTCCTTTCGTCGAGATGAAGATTAGGCCATTCAATTTCCGTAGCATCAGCAACAAGAGGAGGCGGTCTGCCCCTGTATAAACAACCACCTCCCTCCAGCCTAGAATCATGGAAAAAAGAGGTTTGAATGATGCTAAGTGTTTCTGCTGTTGTTGTGCTTTACTGACAGCAAAGGCAGGCTTGAATGAAACATCGCCGGTTCCTTTTAGTGTTGCTTCCAATGGTAATTTGGATCATTAAACAAAGCTACTAATATTTTATTAAAATTAGTCAAATAACACATTAACATGAGGCAATTATGATAATTTTTTCAGTCTATGGATGTAATTTTGGATTATAAATTAGCAGAGAGGATGCTACCATGTCAAAAGTCTTTTGATCTCTGTACCTGCCCAGCCTCAGCTGTCTTTACCTGCTGTCCTTCTACCTAGAAGACATTGTATTTATTTTTATTAAGCACTAAATGACAATGGCTGTATTTGCTGTAAAAAAAAGACAAGAAAAAGAACAGAGGGGATAGGGATAGAAAACCTGACACTTTAGTTTTTGCTGGGTGAGAAAATGTGCTCAAACTCCTGCAAGACTGAGAGCGAACTCTATTGTAACCGTTAGAAAATAACACTTTTAACTTAAAAGAAACTGTAAATGCCCTTCAATCCCACAACTGTAATATATAAATATATATATATACATATATATATTTTTATAATGTTAATTTGACAGAATCCATCCATTTGATATTATTTAATACTTTGATTTTTTTTTTTACCCTTAATTAGGGTAATATGAGTATAAATATGACAAATGTTGAACATTGGTTAAAAAAAACATCCAAAATCTTCACTAATGAATCAGTTTACAAATGCAACAAAGCAACAGCTCCATTGCAACCATTTTATTGGTTTTATCGTCGCTGTTGTTTAAAATAGACTCGCTTTTATTTATATATTGAGGAAAAAACAATCACCACTACATAAATTTATTATTAATGGTGGCCACTATGAGACAGTATTTGCTCCGAGAGTAGGAATGCAACCAAGATTTTGTTCATTTAATCCAATTAATTTAAGTTTCATTTTCAAGAAATTACAATCACTTATGTCATCATGTTCTAAACCTTTTATAGGTGCTGAGATTGCTTGCGGAGATGGTGCTGATAGATACAATATTTAACCAAAGATATGAACAGTGAGGACTTGGCTAGCTGTTTGGAAAGTGGCCAGTCAGTTCTCTCACCAAAGTTACAGCAGTAGCTTTTTAGTCCCGTGTTATAGGGCTTTCGTAGTATTCATGGTTCGCAGGCATTACTGCATGCAATGTGATCACTAAATTCTATGCAGGAGAAAGTCGGGATGGGCCTGGTGCAGATTTGAGCTTGGCCTGTCTCCCGCTGCTTGCTGAAATGAACTTAACAAAGAAAGCAGAACGAACAGTAGGTGGAGGGGGGCCAAGTCTTTCTTGCTCCACAATTTAAGCTTCACAGTGAAACAACAAAATCAGCAAACACTGCTGGGAATGTGTTCTTTTTACTGAGCCCAGCGTAATCTGCAGCATGCCTGCCGAATGTGGTGTTCACAGTGTTGCTCATACCTTTAAGGACCAGTAAATCAAATACAGTTTTTTGGGGGGGCAAAAAAACTGTCCAGGCTGAAGACATACGATAGCAAAATGGCTACATTTTCTTGAGAAAAACATATTGTTCCTTACAATGTATGAAAATCTATTCCACCATCACTGCAAGCAGCATTTAGTCTCATGATTTCTTTTTGTCTTTGATAGCTGACAAGATTTCTGCATTCCTGTTATCCTTAAATTGATTTTCTCATTGAGTTGAGCCAGAAAATCTGGCAGCTGTCACATAACTGTATATTGTTTCCCTATAAACTTTTCAACAATACTAACAATCCTTTCTATAAACTACTAATAATATATCTCATATAGAAATGGCATCACACTTGATGTGTATGGCATCCTCTGATGTGTTCCTCCTATAGAGGCAAACTAATTCATTAAGCCCTGTTGAACATTTTCATTGTAACCTTCTGCATGTCTATTAAATGAAACCAGGAGCCTGAGAGTAAATAGAAAATATCCTGAATATATTTTAGTTTGACTTGTCATGGTTCTTGAAAACAAAGTTTCAAGTGAAAGTTTCTCTTTAAATAGTTCAGGAGATAGTGAAATAAACTCCACCCTATCAGGCTTCAGATTTATCATCTTCCCCTTTGTATCTTTTATGTATCATTCCCAAGACATTTCAGACTCTCATGCAATACATTTCCCACAGTGTTTTACTGTAGACTAGAGGATTCTCTGTGTACTTATTTAATTAACTACTTAGATTACGTTTCCCTCCATTGGTTTTTGTACAAAGGAACAAAAGTTATTAAACTCTGCAGAAAAGAAACAGAATGTCATTTGTATTTGGGGGTTTTCTCATTGCATTCTAAAAGGTGCTTTTAAATCCATCAAAAAGTACAGTTCTTCTATTCACAATTATTTTTACAAAACTTTCCAAAAAACCTCAAATGTAAAGCTTTTTATATTGGATTGAGATGCTCTGTAGCATGGGACAACTTAGCTTTCCCTTCATTAATAATAGGGAAAAAAATAAACTTAGTAATATTTTCTTCTTTGCTTTTAGGAAATTATTTCAGATTGTACAAATATCTGTGTCGTCTTGAAGACATACCTTAAATTATTTAGAAAAGAGAGCCTCGAATAGGCTCTTGATCATATGAATCATTTGATGTTCTTTACTTAAGTATTAAGTACAATGTACAACTTTACTGTTTTTCAAAAGGAAAAGGGGTTGATGTAATGATCTGGCTGTATCTTGTCTTTTGTTTCATTTGTACTGTGCTTCATGTTTAAACAGAGTATCTCCCCTCATTGAAAGTAAGACTCAATCCCAGAGGTCAGATTGCATTTACACTGTGTTTGTAATGAGCTTCTCGCAGAACAGGAAACATGTTTCCTTATGTATTTATTTACCACTCTCTGTGAAAAGTCAGCCCCACAAGGCCGTGCAGATTCTGGAAACAAAAATGCTTTATTTGGTGGAATTACTTTTTTTTCTTTTTTTTGGAAAATCTGTTACTGAAGTGATCTGAAATCTTGCTAGTGTGGAAATGTAAATGTTGACTGTTGAAATGTGATCTTGACTGTTTGAAAAGCTTGAAGAAGTTTAAATTAAAGATTTATTGTTGGATAACCTTGGATATTACTGTACAATTTAGCTCTAGTTTGACTTGAACATGTACTATATAGTTCCTTTTTTAATACATTTTCTACATATTAATAAAATATTCAAATAGTGTAAATTGATGCCTGGTTCTCCTTTTGTTTATTGGTGATGTTTACATGCTTTCATATAGAAAGTAACATACAATATGCTCTCAAAGCTCTTACATTATACTATATTATATTTGGTTTGTCGAACCCTTATTTGCTCCTTATTTAACCTCATGAACAAACAAAATAATAAAACAGTCCCAGTCCAAAAACATTAAAATGTTTATCTACCACAAAAAAGAGGCCATTAAAAGTCCAAAATCTGCCCTAAGGTTGTGCTAGTCTTTTGATATGAATATAAAATACTGTTCTGAGCTGTAATCATTTGATAATAAAGTTCTCCCAAACCCTGATGTCAGCAAATATGGACTCACTGTTTAATTGTGCCATGGTCTTATTTTCCATTAATTATTCATTCAAGAGCCTGGTCAGCAAAAAAGTGCTTGGTATATATTGAGCCTGCGTAAAGCAGGTGAATATATTATAGTCAGAAACAAAGGAAAGTGCAAACACATTTGTATTCCAGTGAGGATTTTTTGTAGTTTTGTTTTTTATTTGTATGTGTCTTTCTAGTACATTATATGAACCAACTAGATATTAGTAAACTTGATTTGGCATTAATCACACTAATAATTGTGCTTCATTGTGCCTGTTGATATTTTATATAATAGGAGTAGCAAACTGAATTCATCTTATTAGGAACAAATCCATCAACCTATTTCAAAGTATGGGCCAATTGTATGTGACCCATGCTGTAGCTGGTTGTAACGAGTCCATATTTCTTTTATGGGCAGTGGAATTTGGTTTCTTTAAATATGGTCATCTTCCAGTTTTATTCCAACTTCATCTTTCCTCTTCTCTATCAATTATTACCATGTGTACTACAACATCTTTTTTTTGAAAATGTTTTCTTCCTGTTTTAGGTTTAATCCTATCACAATGAATACAATCCACAATTTTCCTTTTAGTGACTTAAATCGATGGTTATCTATTTTTTCATTTACCATTACAATATATTAAAACGTACAAATTGATTTTCATAACTGTCACTAAGCATTAAAAAGAGGAATGCTAGCTATAACAAATGCCTTTTAAAGATTTTTTGTTTTTACAGCTAGGATTAGGATTTAACACTATGTGCTTAAAGGGGCCACCAGAGACCCTTTTTTAAACTCATCCTTATCATTCTCTGCACCTTCTCTTATGCCTTTGCTTTATTCTATCCATCCAGTTATACATCCATCCACATGTCTCCATAGAATTGAACACAGAGTAGCGTGAAACTAATGAAAAGCGGCATTGTGAGCCATAACCAGCTTCACATGCACTTCCAAAGTCTCTTCACATCTCACTGAACTCGGAAATTTAACAGACCCTGGCAGGCATCTCAATGAGAGGGAGGTATAACCCAGATATTCTGCTCAGACTCTCATTGTGATGGAGACGTAAACAGTAGGGCTTAATTGGGCAACAAGCTGGTGAACAACTTGATTTTCATCAGACATTTATTGATGTTCCATGAGTTAGAATGGAAAAACACGAACAAGGCTACACTTAAAATTGCAGGAAAAGAAATTACTCGCATAAAGTACGGTGAAGAAAATAAGTATTTGAACACCCCGCTATTTTGCAAGTTCTCCTATATACAAATCATGGAGGGGTCTGAACTTGTCATCGTAGGTGCATGTCCACTGTGAGATACTATCTAAAAAAAAAAAATTTAAATCACAATGTATGATTTTTTAAAACTATTTTTATGATACAGCTGCAAATGAGTATTTGAACACATGAGAAAATCAATTTTAATATTTGGTACAGTAGCCTTTGTTTGCAAGGTCAAATGTTTCCTACAGTTTTTCACAAAGTTTGCACACCCTGCAGGAGGGATTTTGGCCCACTCCGCTTCAAAGTAGGGATTGTGTTCTTGGGATTGTACTCCTTCTTCCTCCAATCACGGTTAGTGGAATTATGACCAAAAAGTTCTTTTTTGGTCTCATCTCACCACATGACTTTTTCACCTGGCTCCTCTGGATCATCCAAATGGTCATTGGCAAACTTAAGACCTTAAGGGCCTTGACATGTGCTGGTTAAAGAAAGGGAACCTTCTGTGCCATGCATGATTTCAAACCACGACGTCTTAGTATATTACCAACCGTAACCTAGGAAACGTTGGTTCCAGCTCTTTTCAGGTCATTGACCAGCTCCTCCCGTGTAGTTGTGGGCTGATTTCTCACCTTTCTTAGGATCATTGAGACTCCACGAGGTGAGTTCTTGCGTGGAGCCCCAGTCCGAGGGAGACTGACAGTCAAGTTTAGCTTCTTCCATTTTCTAATGATTGGTCTAACAGTGGACCTTTTTTCACAAAGCTGCTTGACAATTTCCCCGTATCCCTTTTCCAGCCTTGTGGAGGTGTAAAATTTTGTATCTAGTGTGTTTGGCCAGCTCTTTGGTCTTGGCCGTGTTAGTAGATTGGATTATATGGGATGGACAGGTGTCTGTATGCAGTTAACGACCTCAAACAGGTGCATCTAATTTAGGATTATAAATGGAGTGGAGGTGAACATTTTGAAGGCAGACTAAAAGGTCTTTGAGGGTCAGAATTTTAGCCGATAGACAGGTGTTTAAATACTTATTTGCAACTAAATAGCTAAAAAAATCATATATTGGGATATCTGGATTTTTTTCTTTTAGATTATGTCTCTCACAGTGGACATGCACCTATGATGACTTTTTCAGACCCCTCCATAATTTCTTGCAAAATAGCAGGGTGTTCAAATACTTATTTTTCTCACTGTAGATAGATGTAGATAAATCATGCTCAGATGGAACACTACATAAAAAAATATTCTATAAGGCTTTTTCGGAGATGCAATTCTTAATCTGATTCTATAAAAGGAATATAGATATTATCCGAACATTGATTATACACTGATGTATTAGTCATCCCACTTAATTGGTAATTTAAGAAATTTGCTCACAAAAAAAAACAAAAACAAAAGCTCACTGAGGGCCAAGAGCATAGTTCTGTGTAGCTTGGAACTTTATTCTTATGGGTATGATATTCTTATGGGTCACATGTGACAAAATTCTGATGGTTACATTCCAACTTTTTAAGAAACATTACATGCAAGCAGCAGTTCTGTTTAACTCTCAGTTGGTCTCACCATGGATGCCATAAATCTGTCAAACCTGTCACCCCCTGAGCAGATATATTTTGGATGCAGGCATTCCAAATGTGTAGAAATAAAAATGCAACTTTAATGGATTTATCAGTATAAAGGGACAAATGTTCTAATCAAAAAACATTATTTAGATGCTCTTATCCTTGCATGCCATTGTACCAACAGACAATGGAGATAGATACATCTCTTAGCAATTTTACTTAGGCATGGACTTAATTCTCTCTCTGTAAAATAAGTCTTTGGCTAATTTTTTCTGCTCTCCATGTGCGTTAGCATTTTGCTATGTGACAGCTGAAGTCTTCAAAGCTCCCTGCACTGGCTGAAATAAGTCCTTCAGATCCCTTCAGATTTAATAGCACAGACATGTGACATTGACCTGAGACGCCCAATCAGCAGAAACGTTGTGATTTACTTTATTACATCACCCACAGAAAAGGCAGGTTCACATTTAACTTTTTAAAGGATTTTACCTTCAGAACACACAGATGGTTTGTTTATAACATCACATTCAAAGTATTTCTGATTCTGATGTGGTCTTTTAGACCAAAATTCAGTCTTGATTCAATGCACACAGTTTAATTTAAGCAGAGGTGAGTGCATATCATGCTATGATGGCCGTTGTTTTGGTGTTAAAAATCAGGACTGAATAAGTTGTTATTGTTGTTGGAGCCCTTGAAAGAAAATGCACACAAACTGCAACACAATCAAAGCCATCCCATGCAAGTTAAAAGCGTCACAAGGTTTGGGATGAAAAATGTTTTCCTCAAGGCCTAATGTTCCATTTTTAAACTTAAGCACATGGTGGTTAGCATCAGAATGTTTTTCTCTTAAAACAGACTCAAACTTAGTTCAGAACATCTATCCTGTATAGGCACCATTGTCTTGTCACAAATGGAGGAAGTAGATCAGGCAACTTATTTGTTGTATAATATCCACTTAAGGTCATGCTGCAGCCTGTCATTGTGTTAAGAAAGTGTTAGACATTTCTATTTCTCAGGAACAAGAGTCAGTCTGACTGTCACAGATTATTTCACCGCACATAATGCGTGGTGTTAATCTTCTTTAAAGAAACATATCCGGTCTGTGACATCTATCTATCACAGTCCTTATGACTCACTCATATTTATATGTAAATCACCTAAGACCCATGTATCCATAGCAACCAGAAATGTCAGCTCACATGAGTAAGTCTTTCTTTTTCCCAAAGGGTCTCATTTGGCTTCTTGGGTGTTAGGAAGTTCTGCGCGAGAAAAGGGGAAGTCAGAATTTCCCTTTTGACTCAATGTAATCATTTAGGGAAAAAACAAAACTCATTCTTCCGCAAGTGGAGAGCATTTCTCTTTATTTATTTATGCAGTGTAATAGAACAAACCTTTAATTAAGCATTAAAAGACAAGATAAAGATGTCTTTTTTGTCCTAGAGAACATCTTGTGTCCTGTGAAAGCTATGCTGTAAATATTGGGTAATTTAAGATTAAAATAGCTGGCTGCAGTGGGTGCCCTAAAGTTTTTACATGCTAGCCAACAGCTCTTCGCTGACGTTTTTTCTTTAAAGCAAGCCAGAGATTTTCCTCTAGACTAGTCATGTAGTTTGCCATGTTACTCGCTAAGCCCAAACATTTTACAGTTCTGAGTCACAACTCAGGTCTGCCTCTGGGGGAGACATGTTTTATTAACAGGCTATTCCTGGACGCTTGTCAGATTCCACTATAACAACACTTTAGTCTCTTTTCATTAGCGCCTACATTCAACAACTCACAGAGAGCTCAGTGTCGGCTTCATATCGCTCACATTTCAGTGTGCGGCACGTTGGCTGAGCCAGAAGGTCGCAATGATTGCTAATTCTCTTTTATACACTCCAGTAATTCCACAAGGCTTTACTTAACAGTGCTGCTAATGTCACAGACAGTGCCATCCCAAATGTCTGACCAGTGATCCGGCATGATCCGAATGCTCTCTCCTGCAATTTGTTTAGGCGCAGACCATACGCAGGATAAAGGGATGTATTGTTTGAGATTTATCTTGTGCTTACGTTCCACTGTGGAAAACCAGATGGCAGCCACACCCGTTATTAGAAAGACCCATTGCAGTTTAATGTGAAAATGGTTTCCGCTGAAGAAATGGGAATTATATGATAGTCAGCAAGGTTTTGTAAAATTAATGCTATATTGAGTGATTGTTAGAGGTTAATATGGTACACTGGCATACTTAATATATTAAAACAAAGTTTCCATCAACAGTAAAATGTGCATAACCCACATCCAATATTTATTCTGTGACATATCCGCGGAAACAACTCCTGCAGTCTGATGCATAACGTGCAGCACCTTTTGCATTTTGTTCCTTATGTTATTTTATTTTTGTGAGACAAACCGCTGGCTCATATCATGTATGAGATTCAGCAATTTCTGTGTGCGTGCATTAAAGATTACTTCCCCGCACAGATTTCGGAGTAACAATCAAAAGCCGGTCTCAGAAATCCATGTATCCGAAATGTCAAACACGGCATTAAAGGGTTAAAGAAGGATTTCCATCCAGGGAGCCTGCAGCTCCACTGAGGTCATTAATCAACACTTGCTGAAGGTGACTCGAGGTTCTGGTGCCTCAACAGCAGCCGGGGTTTAGTTTTACTGTGTTGTGGCGCACGCCCTTACAGTCAGACAGCCCCTCTCTGAGCCGGTCTTGTGTTTGTTGTGTGCGTGAACGGCGGGTTGCTGTTTACCCAAGACGGCTCAGACACGGCTGCCAAGACGAGGTGAGGCTTGTCTCATCTGTTTTCATAAAACCATGCCTTTTGGCTGCATTAGCACATACCACGTGTTCACCCAATAAGCTGTTCAGGAAGTGGGTTTCTCACAGTGATCTGAAAAAGGTTTGTTGCTGTAAATAGAGAAATCTTCAACTGCAGATATTTTACACAACACTGCAAAAAGATTAATAATTAAGGACAGGAATAACAATAGCAATCGTAATCATATCTCAAAGCATGAACATACATCTTTTACTAAAGATAGATATTCTGCTGAGAATCAAAGAAATGACACAATACAGGCAAACTTTATATAGTATAGTATTTGCCCAGTGTCATAAAGTATGTGAGTGAATATACTGTAAATATGTCAATGCGCTTTAACTTATAGATTCCCCCTTTAAGAGAAGAGCAGCACACTTTTCTTGTTCCTTTCTTACTTGAATAAAAATGTTCTCTTGGTTGACTGAACTGAAAGGACATTGACCACAATGCCATAGGCAGAGTGAGGGTGAATGTGGGTGTGCGCACTTCACATGAACTATCTCTTTCATATCTTGAGTGCATCAAACTGAGTCACCATCGGTTATTTGAAGCATTTCTGCAGTTTCAATTCCTTTTTTTACTCTGATTTATAAGATGTGAGATGGGTGGAGTTGCATATTGTACTATTCGGCAATGTGCCCCCACCTTGCTTTCAACATTTGCTGGTTTTCAGAACACTGCATCTATGGTAGTGCACCCTGTCCATGTTGGGCAAATTTAATAAAGCAGCACTGTGCTTTCATGTCACATTTCAGTGCTAAGTTTATCCTTTCTGCCTCGCTGTCTGACATCATTCAGTGTTAGTGTTTGTGGAACGGGAATAGTACGGCAACCACAAGAATCCAGTGCACCATGGAGGAAACATAAGCTAACACAGAGGGCCTATTCTTACACAAAGTGGGCAGGGTGCAGTGACGCTGTGACCAAAACACACACACACACACATACACACACACACAGAGGAGGAGGAGGAAGGTGGAGGATGACGGGAAACTAGGGTAGAGAGGCAAACAGGAACAGAAAGTGAAGACTTGTCAAGATGTCTGGGTGAAGGAGACCATAACATAGCAGAAGCCAGATGCCAGAGCGGAGAGCCCAGAAGTCGGAGCAGCTAAAAGGAGGGGAGAAGTAACGTGCCTGTGGGGTAAGGTGCCACTTTCAGAGGGAGCTGGAGTGCCAGTGAATGCTTTGGAACTGTTCTAAGTGGTTTATATAATCTGGTGAGCTTTTTGTTGGAAGATTTAAGAAGAAAAAAAATGCTACTGTGCCCGGGCCCGTTTAAAAAAAGGTGTAGTTTTGGCTGCGGTCATGTCTGACAGGATGTCTTACAAGTTGCAAGGTTGAGCTGATGAGTTTCTTCCTGCCTTTGAGTGCCCAGAATGTTGCTGACATGTCATTGCTTTTGATAGTTCATTTAGAGACTTTTAGAGTACACGTTTATTTTACTGCTTTACCCTAATTTCCCCTTCTCTTCTAACTTAAAGAATGCCCTCCAGTTCATTTCACTCAGAGAGAATCAAGTTGACACAAGTCTGAACTGTATTGGGACAGTACATTCTCCCCTGTTCAGTCTGTAGAGGAATTCTCTAGAAAACTGGAACAGCTAGACTGTGATGCAAAATAGTTTTTTTGTCACAGAAAATAGAGAAAATGTACATTGTAGGTTGCTGAACGAAGTTAAACCGAACGATTACAAGCAGCGTGCATTTATCAACGGCTCTTGATAAGAAATCTGCTCTGACCGTGTGCTTGGGGCAAGTCATTAAAGATTTCTGCCATGCCTTCTGTCACAACTTAATCTTCTGGGTCACACGTGTTCCTCAAACAACAGCAGGGGCCAACTGAGTGCAATCAAAACATTTTTTCTCAGGCCTTTCCTGGCTTTGTGCGCCCCAGAAATGGACTTTTCCTGTGTATGAATGGCTCAAGGAGAGTCCGGTGTCATGAGAAAGTGAAGAGGCCAGTGGGAGTCCTAAAACGGCATCACAGTGAGATCATCTGAGAAAAATGACATTTCTGAAAGATTGGAGTCTCATTTCAAATGTACTGAGAGCGCTTTGTGGACAACGGCTACAATATTATTTCTTTAATAGCCGGTTCGTTGCTGTTATTATGTCACAAATAGACTGAGGTCAGCCCTGCTTCACCATTTATGGGAGCACTTTCTGTTTCTCTGACAGTAAACACAAGATGCTAGTGGCATGCTGTTAAACTCATGACAGCATATTCAGTTTTATTTTTGCTACAGATAAACCAAAATACACAGTGTACTTAAGATAACAGCACCAACTTTTAAGATTTCTTTCTTTTTCTCTGTTGTTACAAACACGTCCTTAAAAAAACTGTGACCTTATTGCATCCTTTGTGAAACACTTGGCGACTTATGTTTTGACTTTGCGACTGATTCACTGCTGTTTATCTCTTTATGACTGGTTTTGTGATTCAGACCTCTGTGCAGCTCTCCTGCTTTGTGTCTTATCACAAAAACGTGTACAGGCAGCCAGTAACTGAAAATAATAAGGCAGTGATGATATGGCGGAAACAACCTACTGTTTTTCAGCATGGGCTATCTTGGGTTTTTTGTCCAAATTTAGTGTAGCATTTCTCTCCACCCATCACCCATGTTTTTGGTTACGTAATAAACATTAAGACTCCGTGGTCTGAGTCCCAGACACAGTACAGGAGGAAGTAGATCGATGACGAAATAAAGTACATGCTGTCTTTACATTCTTCAGTGTCACATGAAGATAAAAAAAATGTCTTGAGGGCTATAACTGTAACTGCGTCTTTCACAGACCTAATTGTTTAGTTCCTTTGACTGGTATTTTCCTGTACATGATGGAATCAGACCATTAATACTGAAATATTCTTTATTGCTTGTTAATGTGCTGCAGGGAACAAACCTATAGTTGTATAAAGAGCAAACAGTTTTTGTATAAAGACCAAAAAGTTACAGTCTTTTTTTCATTTTTTGTCAGTGAAAAGTCTGACCAGCATAACTTTCTGAAACATCAGAAGCCAGGAAGTTTTGGAGCTATTCATTTTAGATAAAACATTTGTAATCTATATATTTGAATGTATGTTTTTCAACGCTACTATGGAATCCAGTTGAAAAATCAAGTACAAAACATTAACCGCTTGCAAAATGAAGGTGATGGCTGCCTTCAGATCTGCTCTGTTCTCAGAGGAGAATTCTCTGTCTGAACTTTCACTTTGATGATCCGGGCAGTGCTTTTTTTCAAGTGTGTAGCTTCCTGTTGAGCAAATGAGCAAGAGGGAAGTTAGAAGGCTCTCTGCAGGTAAACTAATTTCACACATGAGACGCATCTCACAGTGACAGCCTTGCCAGATCTATTTGCTCTCCACTTGCAGGTGCATCTTCTCTCTCTCTCTTTCTCTCTCTCTCTCCCTCTCTCTGTGTAAGAAGCAAGCAAATGTGAGATGAAAATGCATAGCTAAAATGAGAATGCATAGCTAAAAGCAACAAAGCCTGCAAAGCAGATTTTTGAGTCAAATGATGTTTGAGATCATTTGAAAAACACGATTTACCAAAGACACAGCCTCAAGGCTTCAGACTTAATGAAACAGTTGAAATGTTAGAGTAAAACGGAGCAGTTTGCTTGTATTTTCCCTGACTGTTCTGTTGCACTTAAGTGAAGAGCCCCTCCAGCAGAGGGTTTCTTCATTCAAGGCTTTTTCTTTGGCCAGAGGAAATATTGCTGTCAGACATTTCTGATTGCTCAGACCAGACCCAATCTATCTCCTGTAATATGAAACGTTTGTTGAATTTATTCAGATGAATCTCCTTCCACCGTTTCCTCAGTTTCCTGTTCTCTCTTTTGACTATATCACACTCTCCATCCAAGCACATCCAAGTCTCTTAGGAAGATTGGGTACCTCTATTTCTGTCTCACTTTCCTTCAAACCCAGTATCTTTTCTTTCTCTCTGTGCCTCTGTGTTTCACAATAGGACTCATAGAGAGGTCTACCCAGAATCACAGATGACTCCTGTGCAATATTAATGAGGGGAGAGGTGGGGGAAAAAAATCCAAAGCTGACATAGACAAGGTGAAGAAGAACACAGTAGGAAAAGTTTAAGACAGGAAGATGGATTGGAAGCAGGAAACGACAATGAGAGAGAAAGGGAAGCAGTCTAATTTAAACCTAATTTCTTTTTCTATGTTAATTTCCGTCTTGTTTTCTGCTTGCTCCTCAGATACAACCATTCAACAACTCAGCAAGAATCAAACCAAATGCCAAGAAGGAAGAAGATAAGATCAGATTCAAGGAAACAATTAGTGGAATGTTGACCTGCATTTAAAAAAAGCTTGATCCTGTGTGGAGTTTTCTTCAGATCAAATCATTGCATCGGGGTGACTTCCCACATGTAAGGGTGAGGGTTTGCTCACCCTTTTGCTCACCTTTTCAAATAGCCATTCATGAAATAATCTTCCTTTTTTTTTGTTCTCTTAATGTAAGCAATGCAAGCCTGTGCAGACATCAGAAACAAATTCATCTATTTCCGCTGGGAATTTCCTTGAATATATGGAGTTTGGTGTCAAGTCATATAAAATAACTTAAGTGTGCATTTAAATGTGTTTTATTTAAATCTGAGAGCCTTACAGTGGGTTGGATCAAGTAACAGGGATCAAATGAACAAGACATGGCCGTTTGGGGTCTCCAAAAGGATTTTTAACTGTGCTCCAATATTCCTCATTGTTGATCTTAGCCTCATAAAAGAGGCATTCTCAACCAAGTGTCACATCTCTTCAACCTTAAAGCCATGGATGGGAAAATAGACAGCATCCAGGACTTTTTCAACCAACTTTGGAGCTTCGCTAAAGATAAGCACAACCAGGGGGTCTACAACACCGTGTGCCTGGTGGTCCTCCTTACTCTTCCTCTGCTGGTCATCCTCACAGCGGTGGTGGTGTGTTGCCACTGCTGCTGCTGTCGCCATGCCAACAGCTACTGCTGCTGCTTCGGAGACTCAACAGCGACCTCCAGGTCAGAGACGAAGAAGAAAAAAAGATCAGCCAACTCTGAAGATTTGTGGATCTCTGTAAAGACAAGTCCGATGACACCTGACAGGGTTGCTCTAACCATGGTGTAGGAGTCTGCTTAGTGTTATCAGAGAGCTGATCCTGGGCCAGTTCATGCAGCAGTGCAGCATGAATGTCAAAAACTTATCAAACCAGAACCATACAGGACTCAAGAGCAGCCAAGGACAATGTTTAAATCTGTGAAAATGACATTTACATTCTGGTAGTAATACATAGTGAACACAGATCTATTCTGGGATATCTTAACAGCCTGTATAAATTCTTTATAAGTGACTTTGTATTCATACGATGTTATGTGGTGGCCCCCTTATGTCAATGTTTACAACCTTTTTTATGAGTGTTTTTAGTGTGTGGTACATTTAGGAAGACATGTTCAGACAGAAAGATTCCCAAAACTGCAGCTGTGTGTCCATGTGCGGGTGTTTGTGTGTGTGTGTGGCGGGGTGTGTGTGTAGAAGAGAGAGAGACTAGAGAGAAAAGGTCTGGAGTTATTGAGAGCACTTTGTTCTTAGAGCTCCCATGTGAAATTCGTTGCATCTGTATTTTGGAGAGGGAGCCAATTTAAGGTCTGCCCAGTGCTCAAATAGCTGCATTACTGCCCACTTTTCACATTCAGGGTGAAGTGTTTTTTTTTTTTTCTATCACTTTCTGTACCGGAAAGCACTGATATCCTAAAAAGCTGAAAGATGACTGCTTATAGACAAAAAAAGTATTTAACTCTTATCATTTCCATTTTATTTTTGAATTTGCTTCTCATGAATGAACATTGTTCACTGGAAAATAAGTTTAACTTTGGTATTTTGGATGTGAACATTAAGGCACAATCTGTGTTGGAGAAATAAGAAAAAATCCGTTTTAAAGTTTTTGAAAAAAAAAACAGAATTGAAGTGGCCAAATCAGATGTAATGTGTCATTTTACGGACCCAACTTTTGTTTGAGTCTTGGAGAAAAATATTCACTTTACTCCCAGGTAATGCCGAAAGATTTAGAGTAAAATTGTATCAAATCTGACTTTCTGCTGTAAAACTTAAGAAAACACAGAAGATGATGACAAAGGTTTTGCTGTATAGCTGTTTTAAATAAAAATAAAAAACCTGCTTCAGACACATACTAAAACACACCAAGACAATATTTCTAAATGTTATTCTTGAAAACTCAAAAAAGGTTTAATCAAAAATATTTGAATTATAATAAGTTAATGATTGTAACATGTCACCATCGTTTTTCTTTTTAATTGCTTGTTGTTATTGTTTTGTTTTGTTTATCTTCTGTTGCTGTTAAATTGAAATGTAGGTAATTTACCCTGGCATCGTGTCTAAGGCATGCATCATGTGATCTTACCTGGAAATCACTGTGAGTTTGGTGCTGCTGCCTATTTGCATTAATTTATCAGATTTCTATGGTGAGCCTTTGAGTCCTATAAAAAATATCCTGCATGGATACTGGGAGGATACAGCTGATCGTGTATACGCTTACTTTCTAAATCATTACTTTTCCAGCTAAATGTATAATTAGGATAGGATAGTGTTAGCCCACAAGCTAAAGGTGAACTTATTGAAGTATGTGATCAAATGTTACACAATCTTCCTATTAATTGGAAAATAAATGAAGGTAAGTGTGTTTGTGATCATTAAGCAAACAAATCACTCCAACAGCTAAACGGCCATGCATGACCGCCAGAGAATCAATCTCAATCATTCACAGTGTCCAGGGCTGCTGAGCTTCTTTGTGTTGAGTCAAATTACTTAAGATCTTGTTTGTTTGTACTGTCGCCTCATAATTAGCACGTTTGCATTTTCTTCCTCTGTGTGCATGGATTTTCTCTGGGTACTCCTCATTCCTCTCACTTACCTAACACACATGTTAGCTTAATTAGTGATTCCGAATTAATCAGCGCAGGGCTGTGTGACTTTGTGATAGATTAGTAACTGACCTAATGAAACTAAGAAAAAGCTTCCAGCTCTTTTCCAACCCTTAAAGGAAGATTTTATTTCAAATGTTTTTTAACAATTACAATTTTTTCTTAGGCCATTTAGTGAATTAAACTAATATACAATAATATGTTGATTAGTGAAAACAAAGTTATCAGTTTACTTAACTTTTTTTTGTTAAAGCTCTAAATGAATCTAAACATTAAAGCTTTAAACTCAGGTATGAATAACATTTAGAGTTGAATTTATGTAAATAAAGATGTTTCTAAAATATGGAAGAAGAGAAATGCTGAAAATAATTAAATGGTTCGGACTTCAAGTGTGTTGTGCCCAAAGGCTGTTTTTCTTTTTTTAAGTGAGAGGCATCTCAAAGCCTAATTAAGCAGAAGCATGTCCTCAGCAGCATCATCTTTATGCATTAGCTTATTCTGGTGCTAAGTTGATCTTCTTTCTGAAGTGCTGCTGGGAAAACATACCCTGGTCATTCAACTGCTGCTCAGACAGAGCTGAACACATGAATAGATTTGGGTTTTACTCTTCATTCCTCTTCAAAAACAAAGGTGAAGACAGCCTCAGTCGTCAGAATGCACAGCTATAGATTAACATGCTTAAGGTCCTTCTAAACGTGTCACTCCGCTTTGTCTTTGTCAGAGACAGCTTTACAGGCAGTTTACTGAATCCTGTGGCAGGCTTTTTAACTCCATACTCATAACAATAACAGACTAGCTGTCTTTTTTTCTGTTTCCAGTCCTTGGGCAGATATGAGAGCGATATCTTTTCTTCTCACCTGTCAAACTGTGCCCTTAAACAAGACAAGTAAGGTAAGGCTAGAAAAAAATAACGACTTTCAAAACTTAAAAACAGCACCAGGCAGTCATAGGAGAGTTTACATGTGAAAGGTTCCACACTAATTCGGTTTTAGCGATTAATGTCATTTTGTAGTATGAGAGCACAATTTTTTGCCCTTTACAATATTAAAGAGGTAATTTTGTTTTTACTGATCTCCCAGCCTTTTCAGGAGGATTTCTGTCTCCAACAGGCAAATTCAGTGTTCACACATCAACACTTCTTCTTTAATTTACTGAAGTTAATTTCACTGCCAGCCCCATTCAGTCATCAGATGAATATTAGATGCTGACAAAAATTAACTGGTGTCAGAGCAGTCATGAGCACAAAGGGTGAGTACCCATTAACTTTGTGCAATAAATATTAATCAAACTTATAATTTTGAAACCATTTTGATTTCTAAAAATGAGTAGGAAAAATAAGTTATGTACATATTTTTTCCAGGTTTCTATGATTGGAGGGGTGGAGGTGGGATTTGTTATATTGAACAATAGAAATGCCATATTGGAAGGTTTAATAGACAATAGGACTTATTCTTTACTTATTTTTTTATCACATCCAGTGATGCCTGGTACTGTATATTTAGGACATGTTTTAAAGCAGAAAAAAAGCTGAGTTTATTCTTTTAGTTTTAATTTTGCGCTTGACTGGGTTTGTTGGTTGGTGTGCATGCATAGTTTATTCTGGCTTACGCATTCATAAAGCAAAATGTGGAACATAGCTGGGGATAAAATATAGTGGGAATGTCATTTTTTCTATTTCTATTTAACCTGAAGGTAACAGAGTGTTCAAAGGTTGTGTGAGGCATATCCATACACTCTGACTGCTTAGACAACATGCTCAGAAAATACATGGTCTGTTTACCTTAGAATATGCTCAAGACCAACGCTCTTGAACATTCTGGCAGTGACAACATGTACTGCTTGCTGAGACTACAGCGACTGCCTGACATCTGCTAAAAAAAACAAACACAAAGGGTTTTATGGTGGTGCATTTATTTCGAGGGACATACGATTTACTCTGCGTAATGTCTTATGTAAGAGATTTTTTTTAAATAAACAATCAGCTCACTGCAAATTAGAACTGCAAAAGCAGCAATATATAGGTGCTTAAGGAATATACTGAACTGATGGGCCGAATCAAACACAATGTTAAATGTTGCAATTCAATTACCGAACAGCTCAGTTCATCCCAGCAGCAAGCAACTGTACAAAACAAAATTATTCAATTCCTGAGCTAAATACGTTTGATGACATTAGAATGATATTTTGCTTATTTCTACCTTGTCATTGTAACATGGGAAAACACACTTGTTATTGCATTTGTATACAGGTATATGTATAACATCAATATGCCATCCCTTTTTGTTGACTAAAACCATCCATCCATCCATCCATCCATCCATCCATTATCAATACCACTTATTCCCTCATGGGGTCGCGGGGGGAACTGGAGCCTACGGGCGAGAGGCAGGGTACACCCTGGACAGTCCGCCAGTCCATCACAGGGCCACACACAGGACATACAAGGACAAACAACCACTCACACTCACATTCACTCCTAAGGGCAATTTCCCCAATCTCCAATCAGCCTAACATGCAGGTTTTTGGACTGTGGGAGGAAGCCGGAGAACCCGGAGAGAACCCACGCAGACACAGGGAGAACATGCAAACCCAGAAAGGTCCTGGTTCCCCCGGGATTCGAACCCAGAACCCTCTTGCTGGGAGGCAACAGTGCTAACCACCACACCACCGTGCCACCCTGGCTAAAACCAATAAAAGGTAATTAGACTAATCTTAAAAACTAATCAGTCCGATACAGAGCTTTATATGTGTGTACTATTTGATTTGATATGCCTATATTCATTCAAAATTTTGATAACTATGATCAACTGTATTGTATTGTAACGGTATTCTGAATGATGAGAACAAAAGGCTGACATCAAACTTCGAAAAAGAGACATAAGGTTCTCTGGTTTAACATCATCATACATTACTTTTAGGTCAGTCTAAGAATGTATTTTGAGCTTTGATCTCACATACAGATCCTGTATATAGATGGAACTTGAATATATTCTTCCTCTCTGACTACATGCATATATATACATACATATATGCCTAATAGTTGTCATATTCAGCAACTATGGTTCTTATTTTTACTTTTTGTCTGCTGACTGATCTTGACAAAATAAAGGATAATCAAGAGTGAGGGATGATTTCATGTATTGTAAAAGTGGAAACAAAAACGTTCTTCTGTTGTTTTTTTTCCTTTCTCTTCTTGTCTCTTTGGTTGAGGGGCACAGCTTCACTCAGTGCAAAGCAGTGCCAGGATAAACATTTCTTTCTTCTCCTGGCAAAGCGTTGAGGCCAATCGTCTTAAAGTAATTTGCAGCCGCTGTGGCTGAAACTCCCTCCTGCATAAATGAGCTTTTGAGAAACATTTCATTTTAAAGATGAAATAAAATGCTTTCATAAAGAAACCTTTCCTGCCGCATTTTAGGCAGCAGCATTCTCAAACTCCATTTGACTAAACAGATGACAAAATAATCTTTGACCTCCCTGAAGGGTTTTTGTTCTCTTTGAATTGAGGACATCTGATATACAAACATTTTGTCTTTAAATGGTGTGATGTGCATTTCCATATCTTTTTCGTTTAGTTTTTGACAAAGAAAAAAGGTATATGTGCAAGAAAAGATCTTGTTCCTGTCCTTACAGCAGGAAAACCTAACCCATCTGCAGACTATGAGACCAAGCATTGGGAAACTGTTAAGGGACCAGACAGCTATTTGTTAACAGTTCCGTGAAGAGCAATTGCTCAACTTCACATGATGACACAGTTTTTTCCCAGTAATACTGCAAATCCACTGCTGGTGTTTGTGGTTTTAGTTTAGAAATTCAAATCTGCTCATTGTCACACCCAAACTTTTAGTCATATTAACATACTGACAAAATACAAATTCAGCTAATTCCGTGCTGCTAGTCACATAAGACAGGAGGCTGATGAACTACCTCTGGGAATAAGTGATTATATGTACTTTATAAGATCATTTATCCCTGTAAGGATCCAAAACCATGGCCTAACTTCTGATATACAAATATAATAATATATACTTATAAGTGTTTGGAGATGCAGCTGCGCTACAACAAGAACAAAATATAAATGAGTGGATAAATCTGATATGTGAACAATTCTTATACACTAAATCAATGACTCTGTAAAAATGACAATAACAATTAGGTCAAAAATAGAATCTAAACAATACAACAAGAAAAGGAAATAGCAATATACATATTTTAAGGCCTTAGTGAATACCTTGATTTCCGACCATAAAACTTGGATAAACTTAGATGTAGAGCTCATAAAGTGTATCCCATAAAAAAGAGTATTTATTCATTTTTGTTTTGCGGTAAAACAGTATATGTATATGCCAAAAGGTGACAGATGTTCTCCATTCTTCCATTCTTGTCACATAAAACAAAAATTGACAATAATAAACCTACAAAAAAGAAAAGGTATCATGTAGAAGAAGATGACCAACCTATTAACACTTGATATGGACACGTTGCATTGATTGATCTGAGCTATCCCCATCATTCACATGTTTAGCAGGAGTAATTCTGCTGTTCCAAGCAGTGATCAATTGTTACTCTGCTCCTTTTCACATAAACTGATGTGGTGTGACAGCCCTGGAAGAACAGTGACAGTTTAAGTATAATAAAGCCAACAATCAATAGACAAAGGACACAGATTCCTTTTTGCTGTTGTTTCTCTCCTAATATTTATACTCTGAATACAGTACTGCTATACATTCTGTTGTGAAACAAACTAAACAAATACATTTTAATACAAGTAAAGTGGGGTTCTAGCTTATATAAAGACAGACACCCTTTCGTAATTTCCATCTAGAGTTTGAAGGTTCAGCTGTAATTAAGGTGTCTATGAATATCAGTAATATGAGTTTCTGAAATCACAATGACATTATAACTGAAAGACTAAACTCAATAATACTCATCCTAAATTAAAAACAACTCAAGTACATTTCCTTGTTTGCCTTTTTCCTACAATCACACTAAACCTTGGAATTTCTGATCTGAATACAAACGGATAATAAGTTACTATTGAATGTAAACATTTCTAGAATTCTCCGGAAAGGTTTGAGGAGTTGAGCCTTTAAGATGCATGTGAAACAATAAGAATCCCGGTGTGGTCAGATATTTGTATCTACATATTTACAGAAACATCAAAAGCTAGTGTGATCACAGGTTAACAGGACTGATTGCATCTGTTTTGGTTGTGAGGGTTCTCCTATTTCTTGTGGCTGCTTTGGGTTCTGCTTTTCTCTCGAGCCATCAACGATCGCTTCTTCCTGCTGGATGCAGCCGCAACGGGTCGGATCTTCATCTCAGTGAAGTCAAGCGATGTCAAATGGCCCTTCCACGGTTCCCAGTTCACTCCCTGACAGCAAAAGCGGAGATTTAGAAATGAGACAGAGAAAAGCAGAAAGGAGAGGGAGGAGAACGTGTCGTGAAAAAGGGGAGGGGGGGGTAAACAGTAATAAATAGAACCTTCTGGCTTTTATTTCATATGAGTCCAAACTTGTTTTGTCTGTTATTGCGTTTCAGCAGGACACATTGCAGGAGACATTTGCAGCAGCAATATTAAGGATGAGAGAAGTCAGGAACATTTAATCCTCACAAGAGCAAAGAAATCCTCTGACATTTCCTGAGGTATTTGTCTCCCTTCGACATAATAACTGTTGTTGTTTGCCTATCAGCCTGAACACTTATGGTTTATAGATAGAAAGAGAAAAATGTGTTTCCTTATCACTGATGGATTCAACAAATTTGTGTTTTGCCCTAACAAACAAAAAAAAACCTAACCTAACCCTAAAAAACTGGATTGGCGTCAGGTGACTATTTCCTTGTCATTTTTTTGTTCTTGTTCTTCTGTAAATATATAAAATTTAGATCAAATAACAGTAGCTGTTTCTTAATCACTATACTACCTGTTTTAA